ATTCCTGGGCCACTTCGAGGTCTAGTTCATACACCTGGTGGTGGAGATGCTTATAAGGAAACAGGCAGGGTTATTGTTCCTGTTGCCAAAGAGGCAGGCCATTTTTTGAACTGATAAGTGACAACAGGTGAGAAACCAAACAAAGCCCAACTGACGTTCCTGGTTCTCTGCAGGTGGTTGTGAGGATAAGGGAGGGTGTCCTACATATGACCACCTTGAGCTCTTAGGAGAAAGGGTGGAAAATAACCATCATCACCACCAAGAAGGGGGGTATTAATCCCCCTTCCTTTTTGTTGCTTCAGTGTGTTTTGATTTCTTGGTGCTAGTGCAAATTCAGCTTCCCCCGGTAAACAAGCATGCTGATTGATTGGTGTGTGTGATCCTTCTTTTCACAGGGATTGTCCAGGGAGGCCCTCTTTCGATCATTTGCACTCAGATCATGACAACAGTTGATCAAGAACAAAACAAGGTCCTGTGGATTCCAGCCGGCCCTCTATAGACATATGCAGTGAAGTGACTGGAACTCTGCCACAGATTCGTACATAAAACAGTTGCTTGTGGTGGGTGTTGTTTGGTCCACCCTTAGCTGCCTGTATGGTTGGTACAATTTGGAGTCGTTGCGGACAACATCTGTGAGGCACCCGTGGAAGGCGGTAGGCCTTTCGCTGGCAGAATTCTTCTACATTTGTTCCTATACAAATGAATGAATGCAGAATTTCTTTTTCATAAGACTGTGATGCTGCAAAGTGAGAGAGAGAGAGAAACCCTTTAGGATACGTTTACAAAAACCTCCCACCCCCCCCATCCCAAGTATTTGGTGGTTCATGTTTACTTGAATTTTTTTTAAACAAGCAACCTGTTCAGCTTCCTCTTCCCCAGTTACCCCCTGCTTATTTCTCCTCTGCTTGATACGAAGAAAACCAAACAAAAGTGTCGAGTTCCTACTCAGCTGAGTGAGCATGACTTTTTCATGAAGTGTGGTTCTGTCCTTCCATAACAGCTGTTCTACCTTCAAGAACAATCAGTTGCGTGGATTGTGAATGGGTTTTCTTATAGGTACCCATTTGGGGAGTGAATCCAGGGGGGAGAAGCACTCTTCCGATATATGGGTGAGGCCACTGTTTGTATCTCATAAACTCCTTTGTCTGTTCAAAAAAGTTATTGGCTTCTTTTATGCATGGGTTAATATTTAAATGTCATCGTGTATCTGATCAAACTGTGCTCATTGTGTATTCAGAATAATAATTTTGGGTTGCTGGGCCTACATTAAGCAGTAAATCATAAGGGTTAATAGCTGTGCCTAGAGACTGCTTTATTTTATCACATTTAGGTAGTCTATGTAATTGGAAGCTTACATTGCTCAAGCTTTGTTCTTTTGGTGTGTAATAGCCATAGGGATTTTTATTTAATTAGAATTGCAGTCTCTGTTATAGGGATCTGACAACCTCTAGTGTGGTCCTGTAACTTGTTAGTTTCCCCACTGTCGATAAATGTAGTGTGTGTCTGTTTTGTTTATTTGTTTTTTGTTACAATATGTATCTTCTCACTGTACCAAATTCCATTCTATGTTTCTTTTTGCACTTCTGACTTCATTTCCCAACCGTGTGTTTATCTTTTTTTTGCTTCGTAAAGAATTGCATGTCATGTTTTGTAGGTAATGTAACTTTATTGTTCAAGTATCATTTAAGTAGGACTATATTTGTGATGACTGCTCCTAACATTTCATTATGTACATAGGTTTTCTTTCTTCTGTTTTTTCCCCTTCCTTTTTTTTAGTTTTTGCTTTCTTTTTGCATTAATTAAAAAAAAAGGGATTCTTCTTGCACAGTTGTTCAAAAACAAAATTTGGTTGGAAATTTAAACCTCTGTTTTGCAGATACTATTTTATAATTCAAAATACAGGAGAGAGAGAGAGGGGGGGGAAATGTAGAAAGGCTATTGATAAATTCTTAGTTAAAATACTGTTAATAAGTTGAGGGACAACATATATTTTTTTTAAAGAGGGAGGCCAGAGTTGGACTTCAACGGTACGATTGAAACAGACCGGTACTGTTGCAACATGGATTTTCTGAACTAAAAAAAAAGTCACTTTGTATGAAAACAAAAAAGTTGTGTTAAATAAAGGTCAATTTCTATAACTTGACTTGTATGGGAGTGTTGCATAATTCCCTGTCTGACTCTGTTGTTCAATTTACTACTATAAACCATACTATGAACACCAAGCAAAAGGTTACAGAATTAAAACAAATTCACAGACATTTGTAATGGTCATTTTACGGTGAGATTCCAAATTACATTTTGTTGATAGAGTTGCAATTACCCATGAAGCATAATGACTCCAAAAGAAAATTCAGAGCAAAGCTTGCTTAAATTTTGATACCATTGGATTTAAAAGATGCCAGCTTGACATACTACTCTTTGTGCCCTTCCCATTTAACAAAATAATACATTTTGAGTATCAGTGGTAAACATCTGCCTGACGGAAATTGGGCTTGGTAGATGGTCCTTTTTCTTTCCAGTGTAAGAGGCATTAGGCAAAAGGTAAAAATTCTGTGACCTCAACCCTGCAGATTTGGAGTCCTAAACCATGACCTTCCAAAGCCCAGTTTGGAAATGGGAGTGTTTTATAAGCTTTTCTCAAGCTAATATGTGTAAGGCTGAAAAATAAAACAATTCCCCCAAGTTAAGAGAAGTCTTAAAATGGCAAAGCCATGGGGTGGGGTGGGGGATACAAATTTTGGACCATGCAAAGGCTTCATTGGACCTGATTTCAGATGTCTTGGGAGAGAAAGAATGTTTTATGAATGTACGTCTTATGAAGTAAGCTAGCATTCCTTCAGCTACTGATATATTTGAATAGCTGTCTCCATCCTCTCCCTCATTAATAATCTGCATGATTTTGGTTTGGTGAGCTCACTGAAGAATGGCCATAAACTCTACATAATGGCTAAGTGAAATATTTTCTGCTATTATATGGGGCATGTGGTTATCTCAAGGAATGAGGTGGTTTTTGTAATTCTACATTTTGACTTGACAAAATGACAGAACCATGGTGGACACTGGAGCGAGTTGCATAATTGTTTAGCTAAAACTGATGTAGCTGGAGGCTCTCTGATACATTAGATGGATTAATTCATTTCTCCACAGTTTGGGGCACATAAAGATGAAAATGGATGATTATCTGTAACAACTGGGAGGGGAAAGGGTTAACTCCACCCCTCCATTCAAAGCAAGAAAGGCTATTGCACATCTACAAGACCAAAGGAATTGGCACGGCTAATCTTCATCCCTTCCTAGAAGGCGCTGCCTGCGAAGGTACAAAGAGTCCTGCCTTACCCTGTGAGCCTTCCATTCTTACTTCCTGGCCAGGACCACCAAAACCCACTTGCGGGGACATCCCCACTTTCAGCCACCGGGAGGCAGGCTTCGCAAAATCCTGTGCAAGCGTCTATTCCTGTGCTTGTTACTGCAAAGCATGTTACTGTTTCCCTCTCCAGCGATAAACCCCTCCGAGTCCGGCTGTGCACTGACAGACATGCCTTCCTCTTCGTCATATGTTTATAGCTCCTGCATAAAGCCCGCACAAAACAAAACACGCCTCCCTTCTGGCATCGCGAAGCACCTGTTTGTGCAACTCCACCCTGACCCGAGATCCGGCTCGCTGCTCTCGTTCATTTCCCCAGACCCCACGGCCTCCTTCCCTGACCTCAGCCAAAGATTGCTTTGAGATCTGGGCCGCGATCAAGAACAACAACAACGCAAGCGCTGGGTTTCAAGAGCAGCCTTTAATGGGCGGGGATCGTGTCCCTCTCGGGCTGCTCCCTATGCCTCGTTGCTCCTCCGATGGAGCACGAAGGAAAACAGAGAGAGAGAATGGCATGCAAAAGAGGCGAGCCGGGCGGGGCCAGGGTGAAAGGAGGCCGATCTCTGCTCTGCCGCCTTTCCTTCTTGCCATTTGGGGTCCTTCCTCCCCGGCCCGACCATTAGGCGTGCAAGTCCCTGAGATCCGCTGAGAAAAAGAGAGCGGCTGGGAAAACGTCGCTGGATTGGGACTCCCAACCGTATAAGCGAGCGGGAGAAGAGAGGGACAGCCAGCGCGTCACGCCATTCAGCAAGTGCCAGGATCGCGCCGCCGCCGCCGAGCCTAAGGCGATTCTCTCTCTCTCTCTCTCTCTCTCTGTGACGCCAGAAGGACTTGTTGAGGTGGCAGGTCACGTGGGCCGCCTGCCCGCCCTTCGGCTCCTCCAGCCGCTCCCTGTCAAGCACGTGGCCCTCTCGCTCGCTCGCTCGCTCGCCTCCATCTGCTCGAGGCAGCCTCAGAGAAGCGCGCAGGGCCGCTTGGGAGGAGGCGAGGGGGAGCCAGCCGGGCGGGGAGCCGAAGCCGAGGAGAGAGGAAGGGGCTGGACTTGCCGGAGAGACTGACGAGGGGTCGCTCTCCGCCTTGGCGCGCAAACCGTGAGGCGACCAAGGGAGGAATCCCGCCCGCCTTCTCCCCTTGGTGGCGGGCGTCGTGAGGGGGAAGGGGCAGCCTCTGACTGGAGCGGCGGCCGCCGGCCTGGACGTGCGCTGAGGCTCGGCTTGCGCGCCTCCCCGCCCAAGAGCAGCGCTATGGCTGGGCCTGTGCTTGGCCGAGGGCGCTGGCAGGAGCAGCAGCGGGAGCTCTTAGCCATGGCCACTGGCGGAGGCGGCTCCGGGAGACACTCCTCGGACTCCTCCTCGGCAGTCAACGCGGCCATCCTCCCCAGGACCATGGAGGTCCCCTGCGCCCGCGGGCAGCGCACGTGGCGGGCCTTCCTGGCCTCGTCCATGGTCCCCTTTTTCTTCTCCTGCTCTGGAGGACCCTCAAGTACCTGGGGACCGTCTGCTGCCACTGTGGGGGCAAGGAGAAGGTAAGGGTTTTCCTTCTTTCCCGGGTTCTCCCGCTTGAGGGCCGTTTCACACGTTGCCTGGGGCGGGTCAGGAAGCTGAGGTCAGGCGCAGCGCGCCCACTCGCGTGTCTCGCAGGTGCCTTCCTCTGGGAGCTGCGAATGGCCGAGGAGTGGGGGGAAGGCGAGGGTTGGACACCTGCAGAATGTCGCGTTCATGGTTGGCAACTCATTTCAGGGAAACTTACAAATAAACTGTGTGTTCCGATTGCAGCCGTGTATCTGGAGCCTTTGCGCGTTGACAGGGAAATGGGTCCCAGTGAGTTATTGAGGGCATCTGCTTAGGAGAGCAAGTGCTTTTGAATGTCACCTGCAGCTCAGTCCTTGGGAACTGCAGCCTTAGTCCCAAGTAAACTGCAAGGGATAGGGAGATTCATCTTCTTTCCTTCCCTTCTTTTGGTCCTTTCTAGTTTACTGTTACCTTCTCCATGTTTTCCCCATGCCCCTTTGTTTACTATTTCTCTTCATTTCCCCCTTCCATTTTTCCTTTCTTCCTCTACTGATACTGTTTTCCACATACTGAAATTTAGCGTTAATAGAATTCAGGGTAACGTCAAAGGTTTATTGCTATTTTAGCACTGATGACAGTAATTTAATCCTCCTGCCTTCTAACCATCATCAGTTCAGCAAGAGTTGTTTGTTGTGTGGTTGCTGCCCCAGGTTGACTCCTGCTGCTTTGGTACTAGGAGAGCGGAGGGCCCTTCGTTATTGTTGCTGGCATGAAAAGTTAAAGAAATCCTCAAAAGGCAATAGCCTCAGATTCTGGATAAAACTGTGTTGGACCAGCAGTTCAGTAGTGGCCATGGGTGAGCTGAGGTTCAAAGGTTGAGACTTCTTTTGTCTGAAGTGGACAGGGAGTCTTCAGAACAGTGGTGGTGGTTCCTCTTTTCCTTGTTGAATGATGGCTTCAGCTACTCCTCCCCACCTCACACAAACAGGCTGAGAAGGAAACACACCTTGGCAGTAATAAACTTGCTACCCAATTTGCTCTATTATTGCTGCCAGGTCTCTCTTGCACTCCGATGGGTTTGACTTTCTAACGGCAAGTACTGTCGATTTTGCTATGTCCAAATCACATTTTGTTTGGTTCCGCCATAGGTGGTAACAAAGCAATGGAAAAACCAGCTAACTAAAGAGATGAGGTGGCCCCAAAAGTGCAAATGGTAACTCAAAATATGTATAATCCAATTCAAGAGTTTTATAATCCAATTCAAGAGCATTCTTCAAAGACTCTTTCACTTCTTCATCCCATAACAGATGAAAGAGGTTGGTACCTGCTTTCCTGTTCCTGACTCATTCCTTTCTCCCCTTTTTTGGTATTATGTCATTTAGGAGCAGCTGGCATGGTGTGCAAATGACCTGTCACATATTAATTTAATTGATTCTGTTCTAGGGACTCAAGACAACTTGCAGCAGTTCTCCCCACCCCATAAATTTGTAATAGTTCTGTCCCAAACAGGCTTGTGATCTAAGGAAATCGAATGGTTGGGGAATGAAAGAGGTCAGATAAATAAAAATCACATAAACATAAAAAAACCAAGAGCTGCAAAACCAACTAGTCCAATACCGATCCAAAGGACAAGTCCTTTTTGTAGGCAACCACCTGTTGGTGGCCTCCATGTACCTCTGATACAGTGTTAAGACCAGTGCTAATAGCTGTAGGTGCTGTTACAGAATTAATAATACTGTGGGTGGGCAGGTTGCCTGGAGGTGACAGTTTCAATGACTAGATCCGCATTTCTCAGACTTGGGGCGCCACTGGTCCTGCCAGCTAGGGATGATGGGAGTTTTAGTCCAACAACAGTTGAAGACCCAATTTGAGGAAACACTGGGCTAGGTGTTAGGAGACCCAAGACTCGTGTCTGAGTAGGGCTGGGATGCCCATCGAGTAAAAGAACCATGTCCTTTGTGAACCAGTTTTAATGGCGCTGAGTTCACATGATATGTGGATTTCAGCTAGGTCAAGGTCACTCTAGAAATAATAAATGGGTTTGTGTTGTTCAGTCACTGTATTGCAGAGAACAATCTGAATTAACTAGAGTGAGAGAATATCCCAGGTCCTTGTGTCTAGGATTGCAGCCTAAGCTTTGTTTTGTTCATTTGCTGGATTCCAGGAATGAAGGATCAGCTGTGAATGTATTCACCCATACTGGTACAGAACACAGGGTGAGGTTTTCTACTGAAAATGGGTCTTTGTCACAGTTTGGGATGCAATGTCACCAAAGCTACAGCAACGTGTTCAGGGAGAGGTAAATCGGTACATTTCTTTGATGACGAGTCACAGCAGGAACTTGATCCACGGTGTGTGCATGGTCTCCATCCACCTGCACAACCTGCAGAACAGACCTCCACTTAGTTAAGTAGAAAAGCTGGTTCAGCAACCAGACCTTCAGGTGAGCTGCCCTCCTTTTCATATTTTATATATGGGGGACTTGTATCTGCCCAACAAATTGGATCCCTCGGTCCCCAGCCTGCCATTGGCCAGCTTTGACAAGAATGCAGGGCCACCCCCTGTCAATCACACAATGTCCTAAAGTTCCCCTACATGAAGCTAGGATCCCCCCCCTCAGCCACACACCCCAGTTCCCCTACATGAAGCTAGGATTCCCTCCCCCTCAGCCACACAGCCCAGTCTTCCCTGCATGAAGGGAAGACACTCCAGCAAGTGAAGAGCATCTTTCTCTTCACTTTGAGTTGAAAGTGTGTGTGATTCTGAATTTTCCCCATAGGTACAATAATGCACTCCATTCTTTCAATTGGTGCTTTCTCTAGGGTTATCGGTGGTTAATATTAGATATTTGGCATAAGCGCTTGCTTTAGAAGATTTCCCTCTGACCACAATCCCCTTTATTTTTTCTTCTTGCCTTAACAACAGAAGTCGGCTTTCAAGAGGCCTCTGACTCCTAAAATGGGCTTAGGAGCGTTGAGATATTCGTCTCAGCCCTCCAAAATGGAAGCCATTTCCATCCCTCCCAAGAGAAGTGATTCTATTAACACAAACAGCAAGGTCCACCTCGGAATCCACCACCACGGCCTTCAATGATAAGACTTGGTAAGTGGCATTTTGGATTGAACAGTGCAGGCCATTTCTTTCCTTCTGTCGTCTGTGCAATTTAAGAAGAAAATATTCTGCTTTCTCTCCAGCTGTTGCTGCAAGCCTTTGATTCAGACTCTGTTCTCTGTCTTTGGCCACTCAGAGACAGCCTTTCAAAGGCCCAGGAATAATCCTCATTTCAACTTCCAGGAATGCTGCTGCTCTGCTGTCATGCAGATTTCTAGAATTCTCCCAAGTTAGTTCATGTACCAGCCTCCTATGAGACACAGGAGTGAATCATTGGGTTTGTGCAGCCCTTGTAAGGACTTTGTCGGGCCCCATGCACTGCCCATGTTGTATTACACACCCAGTGCACATGATTCCTTGTCTCAGTGAGTTTACATCTTTGTTTAGAACTGCCAAAGATAGAACAGAGCAATGTCTCTTAATATTGTGCTTAACGAGGAAAGCATTCAGGGGAAGGATAGCAGGGAGGGGACAGTGGTGCCGCACGCTTTACCCATATACCGCTTTTGGGTTTAAAAAAAAAGATGTCCTTGTGATTGATATAACTACCAGGGGATGCAGTTTGATTTTTCTCTGTAATAATAACGCATGTTCCAGAGGACCACTCTATATTGCTCACAGCAGAAATCTTGCAGATCTCTTGTGAAATTCAGGGCCTAAAGGAGTCCCCCCCCCTTTCTTATTAAGCCTGACTGTTTTTCCTTTTGTATTTTAAAGCAGGTTCTTCCATCACCATCAAATATCAAAAGGAAGGTGTCAAAATACCCTGGACACCCAAATTGCCCAAGACTGGCTCCAATAGGGGTAATATATATATTTATATTATTTCTTTCTTGGGAATTACTGCATGAATGGAAAGTTCTGCATTCTAGGTAGTAGATTTTTGTCAATGTTTGGAAGAGGGCACCCTCCCACCTTTGGTGGGCCCTCGGGGTCACATTTGGAAATCGTAAGAAACTGTCCTGGGCACCACAACATAGCCCTTTTGCAGAAAAACAACCCACAGTAAAGGGTTGAGAAAAGCCTCCTCCCCAAAGCACCAGGTAAAACACCCATGCATACCCCTTAATAAATAAAACATAGGCACAAAGAAAGGCGACCCCTAAATTAAAAACAAACCAGACCCTGATTTATTTCTTTTTTAATTGAGAGGGTTAGGAAGAGGGTCTGAGGTGGGAGCGCTATTACACTCCCTCCTTTCGCAGCATCAGTTTCTGTTGCCAAAGAGGCAGGCCACTTTTTGAACTGATAAGTGACAACAGGTGAGAAACCAAACAAAGCCCAACTGACATGCCTGGTTCTCTGCAGGTTGTTGTGAGGATAAGGGAGGGTGTCCTACATATGACCACCTTGAGCTCTTAGGAGAAAGGATGGAACATCATCACCACCAAAAAGGGGGGTATTAATCCCCCTTCCTTTTTGTTGCTTCGGTGTGTTTTGATTTCTTGGCACTAGTGTAAATTCAGCCGCCACCCCGCCCCCAGTAAATAATCATGCTGATTGATTAGTGTGTGTGATCCTTCTTTTCACAGGGATTTTCCAGGGAGGCCCTCTTTTGATCATTTGCACTCAGATCATGACAACAGTTGATCAAGAACAAAACAAGGTCCTGTGGATTCCTTTTTCATAAGACTGATGCTGCAAGCAACCTGTTCAGGTTCCCCTACCCCAGTCTTTATTTTATCACATTTAGGTAGTCTATGTAATTGGAAGCTTACATTGCTCAAGCTTTGTTCTTTTGGTGTGTAATAGCCATAGGGATTTTTATTTAATTAGAATTGCAGTCTCTGTTATAGGGATCTGACAACCTCTAGTGTGGTCCTGTAACTTGTTAGTTTTCCCACTGTCGATAAATGTAGTGTGTCTGTTTTGTTTTTTAATTTTTGTTACAATATGTATCTTCTGACTGTACCAAATTCCATTCTGTGTTTCTTTTTGCACTCCTGACTCCATTTCCCAACCACGTGTTTATTTTTTTCCTTCGTAAAAAAATTGCATGTCATGTTTTATAGGTACTGTAACTTTATTGTTCAAGTATCATTTAAGTAGGACTATATTTGTGATGACTGTTCCTAACATTTCATTATGTACATAGGTTTTCTTTCTTCTGTTTTTCCCCTTCCATTTTTTTTTAGTATTTGCTTTCTCTTTGCATTAATTAAAAAAAAGGGGGGGATTCTTCTTCCCGGAGATACAGTGGTACTTCTGGATGCGAATGGGATCCGTTCCGGAGCCCCTTTCGCAACCTGAAGCGAACGCAACCCACATCTGTGCATGCGCAGGTCGCGATTCTCTGCGCATGCCGTCATTTTGAGCGTCTGCGCATGTGCAAGCGACAAAACCCAGAAGTAACGCGTTCCGTTACTTCTGGGTCGCTGCGGAGCATAACCTGAAAACGCTCAACCTGAAGCATATTTAACCTGAGGTATGACTGTACTGGCTTAGGATCTCAGTCTTTGGCCTAGGGAAGGGGTTACTTCCACACCTAAACAACGAGAGTTTGTCAGCTTGTAGATGAAAACTATGGTCAGAAAACCACTTGATTGGAATACAGTCATACCTCGGTTAAATATGCTTCAGGTTGAGTGTTTTCAGGTTACTCTTCGAGCGACCCAGAAGTAACAGAACGCGTTACTTCTGGGTTTCGCCGCTCGTGCATGTGCAGACGCTCAAAATGACGTCATGCGCAGAAGTGGCAACCCGCGTACGTGCAGATGCGGGTGGCGTTCTACTCAGGATGCAAATGGGGCTCTGGAACGGATCCCGTTCGCATTCAGAGGTACCACTGTACCACCTTCTCTCTTGTACCATCTGGGATATGATACTGCCCTTGAATCTCTGAGGCAAAGGCTCTGGGGGATATCACATAGTGATCTCCGATCTCAATCTCATGTTATCTGTGGCCCGATAGCAGTAGGAATTCATTACGGGTACGATTTTCAGATACCTGCATATCTTAGAAATCTGTCTGTACCAACTTATTGGCGTCTTTTTACCAAAGCCAGATTAAATGTATTTCCATCAGAAGTGCTAAATGGCAGGCTGAGAGGCATCCCTTATCAGAATAGGCTTTGTGTATGCTTTCAGGACGTCGATTGTATGAGGCATATCCTACTGCATTGCGGACAATATGAACAAGCTAGGCATCTATTGATTAAACCCCTACTGGCAAATTGGCCGGGTAAATCTGAAGCCTACTATACTAAGTATCTCCTGGACAACAAGTGTAATGATAACACAGTGGCTGTGGCAAAGTTTCTTTCGGTAGTCATATGTATCAAAGATCATCATACTCAAGACTAAATAAATATCGTCTTGGTCTTCCTCTCCCAGGGGGTTGTCTGTATGAATCTGTATTTTATTCTGAATCTATGTTACGGGTCTTTGGACCGCAATAAAGATTTATTATTAATAATAATATTTGCGATGACTGTTCCTAACATTTCTTTATGTACAAAGGTTTTCTTTCTTCTGTTTTTCCCCCTTCCTTTTTTTTTTTTTGTATTTGCTTTCTTTTTGCATTAATTAAAAAAAAAGGGATTCTACTTGCACAGTTGTTCAAAGCCAAAATTTGGTTGGAAATTTAAACCTCTGTTTTGCAGATACTATTTTATAGATCAAAATACAAGAGAGAAAGAGAAAGAGATGAAGAAATGTAGAAAGGCTATTGATAAATTCTTAGTTAAAATAAGATGAGGGACAACATATTTTTTTTTAAAGAGGGAGGCCAGAGTTGGACTTCAGCGGTGTGATTGAAACAGACTGGCACTGTTGCAATATGGATTTTCTTAAACTAAAAAAAGTCACTTTGTATGAAAAGAAAAAAAAGTTGTTAAATAAAGGTCAATTTCTATAACTTTACTTGTATGGGAGTGTTGCATAATTACCTTTCTGACTCCATTGTTCAGTTTACTACTATCAACCAGGTTACAGAATTTAAACAAATTCACAAACATTTTCAAGTGGATAGCCGTGTTGATCTGTCATAGTCATAATAAATAACAAGATGAAAAATGAAAAAATATATTTTAATAATTCCAATGGCACCTTAAAGATCAACTAAATCTAAGCTTTCAAGGTGTGAGCTTTTGTATGTAATACACACTGCATCAGATGCTCTGAAGCAGAGGTGGCTTCAACCTTATAACTGTTGATGACTGTTATGGCAGTTGGTTCCATAGGGAAGGGCAAGGGATTTTTAAAGGGATAGATGACCAAAATTAGCTATAGTATGTATAATGGGACATGAATCCAATATCTCTATTCAGACCAGGTCTCTCCATAGTTTTTAGTTTGGTAATGAGTTGCAATGCAGCAAATTCTCTTTCAAGTGTATTTCTAAAATTCTTTTGCAATAAGACAGCTACTTTACGATCTTATAAAGAATGTCCTGGGAGATTGAAATGTTCTCCTATTGGTTTCTCTGTTTTATGATTCCTGATGTCAAATTTATGCCCATTTATCCTTTGGCGTAAAGTTTGTCCAATATAGAGAGCTGAAGGGCACTGTTGGCATTTGATAGCATATATAATGTTGGATGCGGGTGGCGCTGTGGATTAAACCACAGAGCCTAGGACTTGCCGATAAGAAGGTCGGCGGTCGAATGCCCGTGACGGGATGAGCTCCCGTTGCTCGGTCCCTGCTCCTGCCAACCTAGCAGTTTGAAAGCACATCAAAGTGCAAGTAGATAAATAGGTACCGCTCCGTCGGGAAGGTAAATGGCGTTTCCGTGTGCTGCTCTGGTTCACCGGAAGCGGCTTAGTCATGCTGGCCACATGACCTGGAAGCTGTACGCCAGCTCCCTCAGCCAATAAAGCGAGATGAGCGCTGCAACCCCAGAGTCGGTCATGACTGGACCTAATGGTCAGGGGTCCCTTTACCTTCATAATGTTGGAAGATGAACAATTAAATAGGCCCGAGATGGTATGTTTGATGTTATTGGGGCCAATAATGATCTTGTCCGGGTGTATGTGACAGCAAAGTTGGCATCTAGATTTATTGCAGGCTCTTGTGCCAGTGTCCATGTTAAATCTGGTTGTTGTTCCTGTTGCCAAAGAAGCAGGCCACTTTTTTGAACTGATAAGTGATAACAGGTGAGAAACCAAACAAAGCCCAACTGACGTGCCTGGTTCTCTACAGGTTGTTGTGAGGATAAAGGTGTCCTACATATGACCACCTTGAGCTCTTAGGAGAAAGGGTGGAAAATAACCATCACCACCACCAAGAAGGGGGGTTTTAATCCCCCTTCCTTTTAGCTGCTTCAGTGTGTTTTGATTTCTTGGCGCTAGTGCAAATTCACCCCCCCCCCAGCAAACAATCATGCTGATTGATTGGTGTGTGTGATCCTTCTTTTCACAGGGATTGTCCAGGGAGGCCCTCTTTCAATCATTTGCACTCAGATCATGACAACAGTTGATCAAGAACAAAACAAGGTCCTGTGGATTCCAGCCGGCCCTCTATAGACATATGCAGTGAAGTGACTGAAACTCTGCCACAGATTCGTACATAAAACAGTTGCTTGTGGTGGGTGTTGTTTGGTCCACCCTTAGCTGCCTGTATGGTTGGTACAATTTGGAGTCGTTGCGGACAACATCTGTGAGGCACCCGTGGAAGGCGGTAGGCCTTTCGCTGGCAGAATTCTTCTACATTTGTTCCTATACAAATGAATGAATGCAGAATTTCTTTTTCATAAAACTGTGATGCTGCAAAGAGAGAGAGAGAGAAACCCTTTAGGATACGTTTACAAAAACCTCCCCCCCCCCCATCCCAAGTATTTGGTGGTTCATGTTTACTTGAATTTTTTTTATACAAGCAACCTGTTCAGCTTCCTCTTCCCCAGTTACCCCCTGCTTATTTCTCCTCTGCTTGATACGAAGAAAACCAAACAAAAGTGTCGAGTTCCTACTCAGCTGAGTGAGCATGACTTTTTCATGAAGTGTGGTTCTGTCCTTCCATAACAGCTGTTCTACCTTCAAGAACAATCAGTTGCGTGGATTGTGAATGGGTTTTCTTATAGGTACCCATTTGGGGAGTGAATCCAGGGGGGAGAAGCACTCTTCCGATATATGGGTGAGGCCACTGTTTGTATCTCATAAACTCCTTTGTCTGTTCAAAAAAGTTATTGGCTTCTTTTATGCATGGGTTAATATTTAAATGTCATGGTGTATCTGATCAAACTGTGCTCATTGTGTATTCAGAATAATAATTTTGGGTTGCTGGGCCTACATTAAGCAGTAAATCATAAGGGTTAATAGCTGTGCCTAGAGACTGCTTTATTTTATCACATTTAGGTAGTCTATGTAATTGGAAGCTTACATTGCTCAAGCTTTGTTCTTTTGGTGTGTAATAGCCATAGGGATTTTTATTTAATTAGAATTGCAGTCTCTTATAGGGATCTGACAACCTCTAGTGTGGTCCTGTAACTTGTTAGTTTTCCCACTGTCGATAAATGTAGTCATAATAAATAAGATGAAAGATGAAAAAATCTTTTTAGATTATTCCAGTGGCACTTTAAAGATCAACTAAATATAAGCTTTCAAGGTATGAGCTTTTGTGTGTAATACACACTTCGTCAGATGCTCTGAAGCAGAGGTGGCTTCAGCCTTATAACTGTTGATGACCGTTATGGCAGTTGGTTCCACAGGGAAGGGCAAGGGATTTTTAAAGGGATAGATGACCAAAATTAGCTTTAGTATGTATAATTGTATGATGTGTGTCTGTTTCGTTTTGTTTTTTAATTTTGGTTACAATATATATTCTGAACTAAAAAATGTCACGATATGAAAACAAAAAAGTTAAAGAAACTGAGTATTGTGTTAAAATAAAATTTATATAACTTGACTTGTATGGAAGTGTTGCATAAATCCCTCTCTGACTCCGTTGTTCAGTTTACTACTATCAGCCAGGTTACAGAATTAAAACAAATTCACAGACATTTGTAATGGTTATTTTACAGTGAGATTCCAAATTGCAATTACCCGTGAAGCATAATGACTCCAAAAGAAAATTCAGAGCAAAGCTTGCTTCAGTTTTGATACCATTGAATTTAAAAGATGCTAGCTTGACATACCACTCTTTGTGCCCTTCCCATTTAACAAAATCTTACATTTTGAGTATCAGTGGTAAACATCTGCCTGATGGAAATTGGGCTTGGTAGATGGTCCTTTTTCTTTCCAGTGTAAGAGGCATTAGGCAAAAGGTAAAAATTCTGTGACCTCAACCCTGCAGATTTGGAGTCCTAAACCATGACCTTCCAAAGCCCAGTTTGGAAATGGGAGTGCTTTATAAGCTTTTCTCAAGCTAATGTGTGTAAGGCTGAAAAATAAAACAATTCCCCCAAGTTAAGAGAAGTCTTAAAATGGCAAAGCCACGGGGTGGGGTGGGGGATACAAATTTTGGACCATGCAAAGGCTTCATTGGACCTGATTTCAGATGTCTTGGGAGAGAAAGGATGTCTTATGAAGTAAGCTAGCATTCCTTCAGCTACTGATATATTTGAATAGCTGTCTCCATCCTCTCCCTCATTAATAATCTGCATGATTTTGGTTTGGTGAGCTCACTGAAGAATGGCCATAAACTCTACATAATGGCTAAGTGAAATATTTTCTGCTATTATATGGGGCATGTGGTTACCTCAAGGAATGTGGTGGTTTTTGTTATTCTACATTTTGACATGACAAAATGACAACCATGGTGGACACTGCAGTGAGTTGCATAATTGTTTAGCTAAAAGTGATGTAGCTGGAGGCTGATAGATTAGATGGATTAATTCATTTCTCCTCTACAGCTTGGGGAACATAAAGATCAAAATAGTTGATTATCTGTAACTTTAGCTATTTAGGTGGGTGATTTATGCCAGGGGTAGGCAACCTAAGGCATGTGGGCTGCATGTAGCCCAATCGCCTTCTCAGTCCGGCCCACGGACTGTCCAGGTATCAGCGTGTTTTTACATGAGTAGAATGTGTCCTTTTATTTAAAATGCATCTCTGAGTTTTTTTGTGGGGGCTGCCTGGTGTTTTTACATGAGTAGAATGTGTGCTTTTATTTAAAATGCAACTCTGGTTTTATTTGTGGGGCATAAGAATTCATTCTCCCCCCCCCCCCCATATAGTCTGGCCCATTACAGGGTCTGAGGGACGCTGGACCGGCCCACGGCTGGAAAAGGTTGCAGAACCCCGATTTATGCCATTACTTATCCTGGCCATGGCATCCCAAGTTCTGCTCCTACGTGATGGAACTGGGAGGGAAAGGGGTTAGCTCCACCCCTCCATTCAATGCAAGAAAGGCTAGTGCACATCTACAAGACCAAAGGAACTGGCACTGCTAGTCTTCATCGCTTCCTAGAAGGCGCTGCCTGCGAAGGTACAAAGAGTCCTGCCTTACACTGTGAGCCTTCCATTCTTACTTCCTGGCCAGGACCACCAAAACCCACTTGCGGGGACATCCCCACTTTCAGCCACCGGGAGGCAGGCTTCGCAAAATCCAAGCATATTCCTATCCTTGTTACTGCAATGCTTTCGTTCATTTTCCCAGACCCCACGGCCTCCTTCCCTGCCCTCAGCCAAAGATTGCTTTCAGATCTGAGCAGTGATAAAGAACAACGCAAACCACCCCAGCCAAACGCTGGGTTTCAAGAGAAGCCTTTAATGGGCGGTGATCGTGTCCCTCTCGGGCTGCTCCCTATGCCTCGTTGCTCCTCCGATGGAGCACGAAGGAAAACACAGAGAGGGAGAGAGAATGGCATGCAAAAGAGGCGAGCCGGGAGGGGGTGAAGGGAGGCCGATCTCTGTTCTGCCGCCTTTCCTTCTTGCCATTTGGGGTCCTTCCTCCCCGGCCCGACCATTAGGCGTGCAAAGAGAGCGGCTGAGAAAACATCGCTGGATTGGGACTCCAAGCGTATAAGCGAGCGGGAGAAGAGAGAGACAGCCAGCGCGTCACGCCATTCAGCAAGTGCCAGGATCGCGCCGCCTCTTTCCCTTCGCCTTCTCTCTCTGTGACGCCAGAAGGACTTGTTGAGGCGGCAGGTCACGTGGGCCGCAGGTCACGTGAGCCGCTCCTCCCGCCGCTCCCAGTCGAGCGCGTGGCCCTCTCGCTCGCTCGCCTCCATCTGCTCGAGGCAGCCTCGGAGAAGCGCGCAGGGCCGTTTGGGAGGAGGAGGAGGCGAGGGGAGCCCGGAGAGCCCCGAGACCAGGCAGGAGCCAGCCGGGCGGGGAGCCGAAGCCGAGGAGAGAGGAAGGGGCTGGACTTGCCGGAGAGACTGACGAGGGGTCGCTCTCCGCCTTGGCGCGCAAACCGTGAGGCGACCAAGGGAGGAATCCCGCCCGCCTTCTCCCCTTGGTGGCGGGCGTCGTGAGGGGGAAGGGGCAGCCTCTGACTGGAGCGGCGGCCGCCGGCCTGGACGTGCGCTGAGGCTCGGCTTGCGCGCCTCCCCGCCCAAGAGCAGCGCTATGGCTGGGCCTGGGCTTGGCCGAGGGCGCTGGCAGGAGCAGCAGCGGGAGCTCTTAGCCATGGCCACTGGCGGAGGCGGCTCCGGGAGACACTCCTCGGACTCCTCCTCGGCAATCAACGCGGCCATCCTCCCCAGGACCATGGAGGTCCCCTGCGCCCGCGGGCAGCGCATGTGGCGGGCCTTCCTGGCCTCGTCCATGGTCCCCTTTTTCTTCTCCTGCTCTGGAGGACCCTCAAGTACCTGGGGACCGTCTGCTGCCACTGTGGGGGCAAGGAGAAGGTAAGGGTTTCTCTTCTTTCCCGGGTTCTCCCGCTTGAGGGCCGTTTCACACGTTGCCTGGGGCGGGTCAGGAAGCTGAGGTCGGGCGCAGCGCGCCCACTCGCGTGTCTCGCAGGTGCCTTCCTCTGGGAGCTGCGAATGGCCGAGGAGTGGGGGGAAGGCGAGGGTTGGACACCTGCAGAATGTCCCGTTCATGGTTGGCAACTCATTTCAGGGAAACTTACAAATAAACTGTGTTCAGATTGCAGCCGTGTATCTGGAGCCTTTGCGTGTTGACAGGGAAATGGGTCCCAGTGAGTTATTGAGGGCATCTGCTTAGGAGAGCAAGTGCTTTTGAATGTCACATGCAGCTCAGTCCTTGGGAACTGCAGCCTTAGTCCCAAGTAAACTGCAAGGGATAAGGAGATTCATCTTCTTTCCTTCCCTTCTTTTGGTCCTTTCTAATTTTCTGTTGGGAACGCGGGTGGCGCTGAGGGTTAAACCACAGAGCCTAGGACTTGCCGATCAGAAGGTCGGCGGTTCAAATCCCCACGATGGGGTGAGCTCCTGTTGCTCGGTCCCTGCTCCTGCCAACCTAGCAGTTCGAAAGCACGTCAAAGTGCAAGTAGATAAATAGATGCCGCTCCGGCGGGAAGGTAAATGGCGTTTCCGTGCTCTGCTCTGGTTCGCCAGAAGCGGCTTAGTCATGCTGGCCACATGGCTCGGAGGCTGTATGCCGGCTCCCTTGGCCAATAAATCGAGATGAGCGTCGCAACCCCAGAGTCAGCCACGACTGAACCTAATGGTCAGGGGTCCCTTTACCTTTACTAATTTACTGCTACCTTTCTCCATGTTTTCCCCATGCCCCTTTGTTTACTATTTCTCTTCATTTCCCCCTTCCATTTTCCTTTCTACCGATATTGTTTTCCACATACTAAGATTTAGTGTTAATAGAAGTCAGAGTAACGTCAAAGGTTTATTGCTATTTTTACACAGATGACAGTAATTTAATCCTCCTGCCTTCTAACCACCATCAGTTCAGCAAGAGTTGTTTGTTGTGTGTTTGCTGCCCCAGGTTGACTCCTGCTGCTTTGGTACTAGGAGAGCAGAGGGCCCTTCATTGTTGTTGCTGCAGCATGAAAAGTTAAAAACATCCTCAAAAGGCAATAACCTCAGATTTTGGATGAAAGTTGTGTTGGACCAGCAGTTCAGTAGTGGTAATGGGTGAGCTGAGGTTCAAAGGTTGAGACTTCTTTTGTCTGAAGTGGACAGGGAGTCTTCAGAACAGAAAGTGTTGCCTCTTCACTGCCAACTTCCTGTAAAGGGATGACGACTCTTGCTAAGGACTTTAACATCATGCCAACTTTTTCTTTCTCACCCCTCTCCCACTCCCCCTTTGCTTAATACATAGCCTCACGAAAAGTTCTGGAGAACTCAAAACCTTGATTATTTTGTGAGGCTTGGGTAGGTCCTAATAAATATATTTCCCCACTGTGGATTTGAGATTCTTGTCAAGGCAAACAGTGAAGCCAACAGCCATTTCCTGCTCAGTGGGATTACTCCAAACGATGTGTAATGTGGCTTGCAGCTGCCTTGTTAGGATTTCCCCTTCCAGTTTTATGTATAGCTACCCAGACGGTAGAATATGCTTAGAATGCCATTGCGTTTTGAAGGCTGGGAAACAGAGTAAAATGAGATCCCTTCACATTCAGTTATCAGCTCTCCCTGCTTCCCCCAAGATATAGCATAACATGGCTCTGCAAACATGGAATCCTTTATTAATTTTAATTTGAAAGTGGTAATGAAGTAGGGATGTGAGTGTATCTCCGTGTGATGACAGAAATAACACTGCTATGCTGAGAATTATGAAAGCAACTTTGAGAAAGTTAGGTGCATCTAAACCCCATCAAAAGTAAATAACAGCAATAGCCTTTTCCTTCTGAAGAGATGCTCCTTTTGTGGAGGGGAAATGGAAATGTGAGCTTTCGGAAAGAAAGATTTGTTGGAGCTGTAACACTCGTCTCTATTTACATGATGATAAAATGTATATTTTTGAAGAGAACTGGCTCCTCAGAAAGAAAAGCCAAATAGTTAATACGTCTGAAGGAGTTTCCTCTCTTTCTATCTCTGTGTGTTTATATATATATATATTAATAAATATATTTAAGTGCTTTCCTTTGTTTGTTGCAAGAAACGTATTTAAGGAAGTCCAGAACGCAGCAAAGATGCAAAAAATGTTTCAAGATGATTAGCAGCACTACCTATATTTCATTTTTATATTTCACTTGTTCCCAAAGTTACAGAACTGAACAAAGTACCTATAGTTCTTCTGTGGCTTCCAAGTCATCTGTGTGGACTCGGTTGTAGGAACAGGTTTACATCCCTTGAATGTCCAACAGTATTAGCAATTTCTACAGGCAGAGTGGGCTCTTAGTTATATGCTCCACTTGCCCAGGCAGTTAACACTGCAGTGTCTCTCAAAGATTCATTGATATATCTGGAGAGTCACACATCTCTACTTTTGCTCATTCACCATGCTGTACTGTGCTTAAAGTCCAAGAGAAACTGCAGAGATGGCACTCCTCCTGGCATGCTGGCCTCCCTAAGCCCCTGAGCAAGCTAATATCTGACACTTCATAAACTGTCTTTGAAAAGAAGCCTTCTCATTCAAAACTGAAAGCACATATTGCACAGTCGAAGATTATTTTTGAACATGCCATATATTGTTGATGTTTCCTGGCCAGGTTGTATATTGCATAGGTTTTCTGGACTGTCTAGACAAGCTGGGAGCTGGGGACACTATTATACAGTGGTTGCGCTCCTTGCTCCTGGGCCGTGTCCAGAAAGTGGGGGGGGGGATGAGTGTTCAGACGCCAAGGCTCTCACTTGTGGGGTGTCTCAGGGTTCTATCCTCTCCCTCATGCTTTTTAACATCTACATGAAGCCGCCGGAAGAGATAATCAGGGGGTTGGGGCTGGGTGTCCATCAATATGTGGATGATACCCAGCTCTACCTCTCTTTTAAATCGGAATCAGTGAAGGCAGTGAAGGTCCAGTATGAGTGCCTGGAGGTGGTTGGAGGATGGATGGTGGCTAATGGATTGAGGTTTAATCCTGACAAGACAGAAGTACTGTTCTTGGGGGACAGGGGGCGGGCGGGTGTGGAGGACTCCCTGGTCCTGAATGGGGTAACTGTGCCCCTGAAGGACCAGGTGCGCAGCCTGGGAGTCATTCTGGACTCACAGCTGTCCATGGAGGTGCAGGTTAATTCTGTGTTCAGGGCAGCTGTCTACCAGCTCCATCTGGTATGCAGGCTGACATCCTACCTGCCCGCGGACTGTCTCATCAGAGTGGTGCATGCTCTAGTTATCTCCCGCTTGGACTACTGCAATGCACTCTACGTGGGGCTACCTTTGAAGGTGATCCAGAAACTATGGTACAACTAATCCAGAATGCGGCAGCTAGACTGATGACTGGGGATGGCTGCCGAGACCATGTAACACCGGTCCTGAAAGACCTACATTGGCTCCCAGTACATTTCCGAGCACAATTCAAAGTGTTGGTGTTGACCTTTAAAGCCCTAAACGGCCTCGACCCAGTATACCTGAAAGAGCATCTCCACCCCCATCGTTCTGCCCGGACACTGAGGTCCAGCACCGAGGGCTTTCTGGTGGTTCCCTCACTGCGAGAAGCAAAGCTACAGGGAACCAGGCAGAGGGCCTTCTCGGTGGTGGCACCCGCCCTGTGGAACGCCCTCCCATCAGATGTCAAAGAGATAAACAACTACCTGACATTTAGAAAACATCGGAAGGCAGCCGTGTTTAGGCAAGTTTTTAATGTGTGACATTTTAACGTATTTTTAATCTTTGTTGGAAGCCGCCCAGAGTGGCTGGGGAAACCCAGCCAAATGGGTGGGGTACAAATAATAAATTATTATTATAATTATTATTTTATTATTATTTCTTACTGCCTTTCTCTAGCTAAAATTACTGGCATTGAAAGGCCCGTGTGTCCTTCTGGTTTGTTGTTTTAAATTTCCAATTCATATCATGAATGTCCCTTGGTTGAATAATTGTCCACAAAATACCTAGCATGAGGATCTTAATCTCAGGGTTGTGGGTTCAAGCCCCACATTGGGTGAAAGTTTCCTGCGTTGCAGGGGGTTGGGCTAGATGACTCTAGTGGTCCCTTCCAACCTACAGTTCTATGATTCATGTAGCCTGAGCCTGTGCAATCAGCAGAAAAAGAGGTGTCAGTCCTCTGTACTGGTTTGTATTTTCACAAAAGAGCCCTGGGTGCAACAGAGGCATTGCATTAGTAGTGGACAGCATGGGTGGTGGTGGAGATGCATACATGACTCCTCTTGCAGCTGTATAGGTGCTATTTACCTGCGGTGGATGGCTTTAAGGCAGTGGCAAGGTCGGTGCAGTGCAAATACACTGGCCATGTCAGTCCAGTACTTATGTTTGTGCATTTGCTCTGTGCAATTCTCACCGCCCCCTTGCCCCCTGCCCTACGGAGTGTGCGTGGGTGTGATGTGGCAACATGAGAACGGGCCTTTTCTGTCGTGGCTCCCTGACCGTGGAATGCTCTTCTCAGGGAGGCTCACCACGCGCCATCATTACATATCTTTAGGCATCAGGGAAAAACATTTGTCTTTATCCAGGCCTTTGGCCACTAAATAACATAGGGCCTGTTAAAGGTAAGGGAAAGTTAATATTATTATTTTATTATTAAGCTGCCTATTACAGTGGTACCTCGGGTTAGGAAGCCCAACCTTAGTATTAATAGTAGTAGTCTGACCTTGCCTTGTTCCATAGAGTTACCAGCAACTGCTGCAGTGGAAGTTTATGTATGCCACTGTATGCACTTCTTACATGATGAGGCCGTGTCTGAGCCAGATCTTAATTGCACAGTTGAATGGGAAATTGCATGGCTGAGCTTCTATACATGAAGCCTTATTATGCCTTAAATACCCCATCTCCTTTTAATTTCCATTTTGCTTGAAGATAATTTCAATAAAAGTTATAATTGCTGCAGTGCAGCAATCTAATGGAGTAGCACTTGAAGCACATGATAATATGAAATGTAATAGTGGATGCAATGTTAAGTTTTAAAAATTATGCTCCCTGATGACTGCCCTTCAATCATAATAAAAAAAGCACCAGGCAATTAACTTGAAAGGCACAGGCAATTGAGTGATCCCAATTAGGTTATATTGCATTGGAGTAAATGTGTGTGTGTGTTTTAAAGGGGCAGTTATTGTAAACAAAGCTACTTGGAGACTTTACCCGAGGTTTAAAAGTACCTTGCTTTTTTCAGTGCGGTTACTGGGGGTTTTTCTACCCCTTCTTGTCTGTTTCCATATTCAGGGTTAAAAATGAACAAGGACAGTATAGCTTTCTTCTTCAATACAGCCAGTTCAACAACATCAACAGCAAAAAAATAAAATAAATCCGACTAGAGACTTAACACAAATTCAGCAAATCAAAGTGTAGCATTATTATTTTTTAATGAAAATACAGGTTGCTGTAATCCTGCCACACTGAATAAGCTGCCAGTTATTAAAAAATGATTCCCATAGAAATTAGACACCTGAAGTAGTTGGCTGCCTGTGTGGTGAGGAAATATGTTTGCCACCATCTTTCCCAATCCAGGGAAGAGGCACAATTCACATACAATTACAATTAGCTCCTCATTGGCTGCATCCCAACGGTGGGATTTTGCTGCTCACATCCCTTGATTTCTAAATTAAATGGCTCACATTCCACAAAGGAAAAATAATAAATGTTTCCCAGAAGAGGGAATAAAGATGAGGTGTGTGCCTATGTGTTCCCCCCCCCCAATAGTTTGCCAAAGATTTCCCTTGAATGCATTCTTGCTTCAGAGTTTCCCAACCTCGCAGCCAGTGACAGATTGTGCTGTGAGTGGACATGAAAGCTAACTGTTAAAACTCAAATGTTTTTAAAAGACAACAGCAAGCCCTGGCCCCTTGCTAACGGAACCTTCAGTGACTGTTGGAACCAACAGCCATTTGGCTCCTCCCCTTTCCAGAGCATTCTTCAAAGACTCTTTCTCTTGTTCATCCCATAACAGATGAAAGAGGTTGGTACCTGCTTTCCTGTTCCTGACTCATTCCTTTCTCCCCTTTTTTGGTATTATGTCATTTAGGAGCAGCTGGCATGGTGTGCAAATGACCTGTCACATATTAATTTAATTGATTGTTCTGTTCCTATGGACTCAAGACAACTTGCAGCAGTTCTCCCCACCCCACCCCATAAATTTGTAATAGTTCTGTCCCAAACAGGCTTGCGATCTAAGGAAATCGAATGGTTGGGGAATGAAAGAGGTCAGATAAATAAAAATCACATAAACATAAAAAAACCAAGAGCTGCAAAACCAACTAGTCCAATACCGATCCAAAGGACAAGTCCTTTTTGTAGGCAGCCACCTGTTGGTGGGGTCTGTGTACCTCTGATACAGTGTTAAGACCAGTGCTAATAGCTGTAGGTGCTGTTACAGAATTAATAATACTGTGGGTGGGCTGGTTGCCTGGAGGTGACAGTTTGAAATGACTAGATGCGCGGTTCTCAAACTTGGGGCGCCACTGGCCCTGCCAGCTAGGGATGATGGGAGTTGTAGTCCAACAACAGTTGAAGACCCAAGTTTGAGACCCAAGACTCGTGTCTGAGTAGGGCTGGGATGCCCATTGAGTAAAAGAACCATGTCTCGTGTGAACCAGTTTAAATAGTGCTGTGTTCCCATGATATGTGGCTTTCAGAAGGTGGTAGGCACTGCCAGATTACACAGGCATTGCAGTAATCCAACCTTGAAATCACCAATGCCACTGAAGCTATCTGGGCCTCCAGTGACAGGTAGATCAAGGTGCACCCCCCAAACTGTGCAGCTGCTTCTTCAAGTGGAGTGTAATCCTATATAGGGCAGGCAATTGACCAGCTTTTCAGGTGCAGGAAACTGTCACATTACCCCTGTCTTGCCAGAATTCAAGTTCAGCTTATTTTCCGTCATCCATCCCACCACTGCCTCTAGTCTTTGGCCCAGGTTTTGCACAGCCTCTCCTGATTCAGATGTTATGAAGAAATAGAGCTGTGTGTCATCAGCATACAGATGGCACCTTGCCCCAAAACTCCTAATCACCATTCCCAGTGGCTCTTTGTAATTGGGGATAAAGGAGATGGTTCTTTGATTGACAATAGGAATATACGTTCCTTGACACTCCCACCCCAAGCTAGTATGCTGCTGTTTTGAGTAACCAGGTGAGCTAGGTCAAGGTCACTCTAGAAATAATAAATGGGTTTGTGTTGTTCAGTCACTGTATTGCAGAAAACAATCTGAATTAACTAGAGTGAGAGAATATCCCGGGTCCTTGTGTCTAGGGCTGCAGTCTAAGCTTTGTTTTGTTAATTTGCTGGATTTCAGAAATGAAGGATCAGCTGTGAATGTATTCACCCATACTGGTACAGAACACAGGGTGAAGTTTTCTACTGAAAATGGGTCTTTGTCCCAGTTTGGGGCGCGGTGGCACCAAAGCTACAGCAACGTGTTCAGGGAGAGGTAAATTGGTATATTTCTTTGATGACGAGTCACAGCAGGAACTTGATCCACCGTGTGTGCATGTTCTCCATCCACCTGCACAACCTGCAGAACAGACCTCCACTCAGTTAAGTAGAAAAGCTGGTTCAGAAACCAGACCTTCAGGTGAGCTGCCCTCCTTTTCATATTTTAAGTGCTGCTTGTTTTACATGCCCATTTGTCATGCCTCTTTTTTAAAACAACAACTAAAACCTTTTAAAAACTGAGATTAGGGGCTTCCTATGCCTCAGTGATGTCACAGTCATTTTTTTCCTTCCAAAAGCTTGTTTTCATTACAGTGGTACCTCGGGTTACATACGCTTCAGGTTACATATGCTTCAGGTTACAGACTCCGCTAACCCAGAAATAGTACCTCAGGTTAAGAACTTTGCTTCAGGATGAGAACAGAAATCGTGCTCCGGCAGCGCAACAGCAGCAGGAGACCCCATTAGCTAAAGTGGTGCTTCAGGTTAAGAACAGTTTCAGGTTAAAAACGGACCTCCGGAACGAATTAAGTACTTAACTGGAGGTACCACTGTATATTCTATAGAACAGGGGTGGGGGACTTGGATTACCTCAACAAATTGGATCCCTCGGTCCCCAGCCTGCCATGGACCAGCTTTGACTAGAAGGCAGGGCCACCCCCTGTCAATCACACAATGTTGTAAAGATGTCAGGTGATTGACACCTATCAGAGTTCAAAGGGGTGTGTGTCTTGTTGCAACAGTTGGCCAGCTCATGGGCAATTATAGCCACCCTCTTTGAAGGTGTGCTTCCAGCATCAATCAGCTCATTGGCAGAGAGAGTGAGAGAGAGCATCCACTTTCAAAGGAGAGGGTTGCTCCGTTAGCTCAAAGTAGCTTGCTAAAATGGGGTGTGGGTGTGTGCTCTTTTAGCATGAAATTTCAATGTAAACTACTTCAAAACACAGCCCTGGTGCACTCAGTCCCCATGGTTCTTCCTGTCAGTTCCAACCAGCTGATTTCTCCTTTGCAAGCAGAGCTTTCCAACAGCACCAATCAGGATTTAAGCTCCTGGTTGTTCCTTTGTAGCCACATTTATACCTGCTCCACATCTGATGTCGAACAAGAGTGAACTTTAATTCTTAATACAGTGGTACCCCGCAAGACGAACGCCTCGCGAGACGAAAAACTCGCAAAACGAAAGGTTTTTTCGTTTTCGAGTTGCCTCGCAAGACGAATTTCCCTATGGGCTTGCTTCGCAAAACGAAGCTTGCCCCGGGGACAGCGGGTCTTCTCTTTTGAAGCAAGGGGCGGCGGGGAGATCGCTTCTCCCCACCGCCCCTTGCTTCAAAAGAGGTCTGCCCCCGGACCTCTTTTGAAGCAAGGGGCTGCGGGAGATCGCTTCTCCCGGTGCTCCGAAGCGGGGTGGGGGGGCGGGAACACCTGCCCCAGCCGCCGGGCTTCGTAGCGCTGCTGCGAAGCCGGGCGGGGGGCGGGAACACCTGCCCCAGCCACCCCGCTTCGGAACGCTGCTCCGAAGCGGGGTGGGGGGGCGGGAACACCTGCCCCAGCCGCCGGGCTTCGTAGCGCTGCTGCGAAGCCGGGCGGGGGGCGGGAACACCTGCCCCAGCCACCCCGCTTCGGAACGCTGCTCCGAAGCGGGGTGGGGGGGCGGGAACACCTGCCCCAGCCGCCGGGCTTCTTAGCGCTGCTGCGAAGCCGGGCGGGGGGCGGGAACACCTGCCCCAGCCACCCCGCTTCGGAACGCTGCTCCGAAGCGGGGTGGGGGGGCGGGAACACCTGCCCCAGCCGCCGGGCTTCTTAGCGCTGCTGCGAAGCCGGGCGGGGGGCGGGAACACCTGCCCCAGCCACCCCGCTTCGGAACGCTGCTCCGAAGCGGGGTGGGGGGGCGGGAACACCTGCCCCAGCCGCCGGGCTTCGTAGCGCTGCTGCGAAGCCGGGCGGGGGGCGGGAACACCTGCCCCAGCCACCCCGCTTCGGAACGCTGCTCCGAAGCGGGGTGGGGGGGCGGGAACACCTGCCCCAGCTGCCGGGCTTCGTAGCGCTGCTGCGAAGCCGGGCGGGGGGCGGGAACACCTGCCCCAGCCACCCCGCTTCGGAACGCTGCTCCGAAGCGGGGTGGGGGGGCGGGAACACTTGCCCCAGCCGCCGGGCTTCGTAGCGCTGCTGCGAAGCCGGGCGGGGGGCGGGAACACCTGCCCCAGCCACCCCGCTTCGGAACGCTGCTCCGAAGCGGGGTGGGGGGGGCGGGAACACCTGCCCCAGCCACCCCGCTTCGGAACGCTGCTCCGAAGTGGGGTGGGGGGGCGGGAACACCTGCCCCAGCCGCCGGGCTTTGTAGCGCTGCTGCAAAGCCGGGCGGGCGGCGGGAACACCTGCCCCAGCCACCCCGCTTCGGAACGCTGCTCCGAAGCGGGGTGGGGGGGGGGCGGGAACACTTGCCCCAGCCGCCGGACTTAGTAGCGCTGCTGCGAAGCCGGGCGGGGGGTGGGAACACCTGCCCCAGCCACCCCGCTTCGGAACGCTGCTCCGAAGCGGGGTGGGGGGGGCGGGAACACCTGCCCCAGCCACCCCGCTTCGGAACGCTGCTCCGAAGCGGGGTGGGGGGGCGGGAACACCTGCCCCAGCCGCCGGGCTTCGTAGCGCTGCTGCGAAGCCGGGCGGGGGCGGGAACACCTGCCCCAGCCACCCCGCTTCGGAACGCTGCTCCGAAGCGGGGTGGGGGGGCGGGAACACCTGCCCCAGCCGCCGGGCTTCGTAGCGCTGCTGCGAAGCCGGGCGGGGGGCGGGAACACCTGCCCCAGCCACCCCGCTTCGGAACGCTGCTCCGAAGCGGGGTGGGGGGGGCGGGAACACCTTCTGAAGGCGGGCGGGGGGCGAAAGTCTTTGTCCCCCCTGCCTGCCTTCCCAGGGGCTTTTAAATCGCCCCGGACAGCGGTGAAGTCCTCCGCTGTCCCAGGGTTTTTTAAAATGCTGGGGGTGGGAAGAAAAGCCCTTGTCCCCCCCCCCCAGGCTTCAGAAGAGGTCCGGGGACAGTCTTTCCCCGGACCTGGTCTGAAGGCGGTTTCCCTAGGAACGCATTAATTGATTTTCAATGCATTCCTATGGGAAACCGTGCATCGCAAGACGAAAAAACCGCAAGACGAAGAGACTTGCGGAACGAATTAATTTCGTCTTGCGAAGCACCACTGTACCCCTATTTGCACGAGGGTTGAGTTCCTGGTCATTGTGTGCATCGGCAGACTTTGTGGGCCAAATTGAGGCTTGTGCTGTGCCTCTGGGCCAGAGGTTCCCCAGCCCTGCTATAGAACCATGGTTTTTCTCAGAGCTTCAGCAAAGAAGAGGTGTACCCTTCTATTGAATATGGTAAGGGATATGATGACATCATCATACACAGGTACATCACAGGTGGCCCAGGTAGCACTGCACACGATTATTGCCTTAGTTGAATTCTTAGTTTCCTAATATAGGAAGGCTTACTAAGAGATGCACATGTGCACATACCCGTCAGCATACAGAACTAATAACAAGAATGCAGACATTTGATTCATATGGTTTGGTCAGAAGTACTTTGTGCAACATTTTCCTCAGTATCAGCCTAAACAAAATGTTGCGTGCTTCCCTTGTGAATTAGGAAACTTAAATTCAGCTGCCTTGTCAGTTTTGCCCTGTACTTATCCTGAAAAAGGGAAATGTTATTTTACACCAACCACTGTGACTAAATCCAAGTAATTCACCTTCTCTAGTTCTGTGCAAGACCAGAGGCAAAGGTTTCCGTTACATCTGACAGTGAAATTGTACTTGTGTTTTTTTATATATTTTTATTTATCCTTTTCTTATCCGAACAAGACTGAACTTTAATTCTTAAGGCCCCAGTTTGCACAGGGGCTGAGTTCCAGGTCATTGCGTGCATCGGCAGAGTGCACATAAGCTCACCCCATTACGCCGCGTCCCATTCCTCCCCTCTTCATCTCTCTTCCAGGTTCGAAAGCGGCACCTGCGTGCACGGCTGTGCATGCTTTGAATGTGTGGAAAATGGGAGTTTCCTGGACCTGATATCCCAAGCACCAATAGCAAGAGGCTTTGGACAAACTTGGTAGCAGTTGAGCTATGCCCTGCTGCTTAGTGGTTCACAAGGAGCCTTGGCCTGCTGTACTCTGCTTTTTTCTAAGTTTTACTCTCTTGAATCATGCGCTTTTTGAGATGCTAATGAGATGCGAAGAGCAATTCTTTTACTTTTATGCATATATCTTCCCCCACTATTGTGTGCCTCACCCCTGACCCTTGCATAAGTAGTTTTTTAATCACATCGTTCTGACATTCTGATAGAAATGGCGGGAAGAAGGACTCTTGTTTTGCATTTAGGAGCCAAGGTCACACAAGGAGATACCTTTCTTTAGGAGCAAGAACCCCTGCAACTCTTTCCAAGGTTCTCTGATGCCCGCCAGCCCATATGGCCTTGCACTTCCCTTGCTAGCCATGTGTTGTAACTGCAGGCACCTCTCAATAGGGATACAAGGTTGAGGCAGCAGACACCGCAAATGCCCATGAACTGTAATCACAGTGGCACAGATTACAGTCACAGAAGCTCAGGTTACAAGTCGGCTGCATTTTTCCAATGGAAGTGGGCCTTACATACAATCCGTCACGCGCAAATTGGTCTTCCAAAAAATGGTGGTCCTTACATCATGTATTCCACCTCAAGCACACCTGGTGCAACTGAAAGCCCTTGATGAGTTGCATCAGGTGTGCTTGAGACAACACCTGTTGTATTTGTGCTGTTGCGAGGAATTCCATTCAAGGGGTTGAATAACAGTGAGACTGGAGAAGCTGCTTTTTCAGCTGAATTTGGAGAAACCACTTGAAGCATCCGTTGTGTTGAGCTATTTCAATTGCTTTGGTTTGATTTGCTCATTGCAAACAGCTGAAAGTATGTAAATTTTGATAATAACTCTGCTTTGCAAAGGGAATTGAATAATTTTGATTGCAACTGTAGTTCCAGATTTTCCAGGTTTGTGATGAGGGTTGTCTTGGAAATGATGGTTCCCATGCATATGTCATGAGGGAATGCCAAATCGTATAAAAGTGGCTGGAGGATCTAGTCCTTGTCGAAATCTCAGGTTACGCATAACTTGCTCCATTATAGCTGTATTTCAGAGTGAGTGGTACCAAGCGTCCAGTGTAAGATTTCAGGCTGTTTCCCAATGAGTTGCAATTGCTTTCCACGCTGCCAAGCTCATTTATCAAGCAGTTTTTTTGACAATATATTTACATTGGTGTCATCAAAATATTCAGCAACGTTAAATTTGGACAACAAACAGTAGTTTCTTCAGTAATACTCTTATCAAAATTAAATTCCAAAAATCTTGCACCAACTGACATTCCCAACATAAATGATATGTACAAAGTTTATTGCAATCCTCCCCCCAAATTTAGGTGATATAGAAGAAAGCATTTTTTACATGTGCTAAGGAGTGCAGTAGTCTGTGTAGTACAGGCAACCCCTGATTTGTTCAGGGATTGCATTTCAGGTCATCACACGTGATGGAGGAGCCCTTTACTTGCTGTTTCCAGGGTCCCTGCAATTCATGCATGCACAGTCATGCATGTTAGAACTTGCGCCAAATAGTTGTTGCTTGTAATTTTAAGGAGTTTCCTCTAAGGAAACTGGAAACATATGTTAAGGGTCACAGTTCCCAAAGTTTATTCCTTTGGAAGAATTTGTGTGCCAATGTCAACTGATCAGGGTGTCACCAGCACTCCACACATCAGCATTGGTGACCTCACGCTTCAGTAGGTAGACTACCTACTTTTTTCACTATGTTGATGGGACACATCACAGTTAGATGAATGAGCCTACTTTGGTGGCTAGAGTGGAAACTAGCCTAGACACTTGGCAGCAGTTCTCAATATGTTGTGTTTAGATAACTGATTTTAGGGGATAACAAATCAACAAAACCAATTGTTTGTGGAAGCATTGTGGATAGCACCCCAAATGTGTGCACTTGACCACAAGTCTGTCTTCATTGCAGACATGCATGATCCTGGCAAATTTACCATTCATCTCCTTTGGTAGCTTTTTCACATTCCCACTTTTTCTGGCAAACAGATAGCTTGTTTTTTTGAAAATGCTCTTGTCTAACCCCCTAACTCCATGCTTGTTTGTGTTTGGCAACAGGTACAACGGATAAACCATCATCACCACCCCCTGCAGTCACCGATGTAAGGCAGATGAATGAGAAACCGGAGACCATTTTGTTTCAGCCATGCCAGGAGCAGGATGAGTTGAGGAAGTGTCTTGCACTGTCGTCTCCTGGGTCAACCTTTGATGAGTGCAGGTAAAAGACTGAACGGTCACATGAGGGTATATTCCCAGGTCTAATGCGTGTGCACTTGGGCATGGGTCTTTGGCTCTTTTCCGCAGCACAGCTGTTTGAGTTGCGTGGGGGACAGCTAAGGATGCCTAGTATGGCTCAGTCTGACAGCATGAGACACTTAATCTCAGGGTTGTGGGTTACAGCCCTGTGTTTGGTAAAAGATTCCTGTATTGCAAGGGGTTGAACTAGATGACGCAGTCTTTGTTAGCTAGTGTTGTTATCTTTGCAAATTACTTACACAACCAGTGGCCAACTCCATGTGGGTACAGAGTATGCTTAATGTATTCTTTATGTTTCATATAAAGTAACCTTTATGGGAGGGTGCATGTTTTCTTTCACCTTAATACAGTGGGAACCCCTGTTGTCAAATGTCTCGGGAGCAACTGCTTCCATTTTCGAACATGCCTCTGAAGCCGAACGGCTTCCAAGGCGCATTTCTCTCTTTTCTCAATGGGGCTTGCCAACCGCCCCATTGAGCCTCAGTTGTCGAACATTTTGGAAGCCGAATGGGCTTCTGGAATGGATTATGTTTGGCAACAGAGGTTGCACTGTACTTAAAATGTTTGATGTGTATACACGTGAATTTTATGTTAAGGTCATGCTCATCTGAAATCTATCCTGGTGGGCCGCCTAGCCACAAGCCAACCCATGACTATGAAAGGCTGAAGATTCAGTGCATGAAGACAATGCCCGATCTGCAGTCTCTACAGAACCAACACACCAAAGCGCTAAAAAGATGTGAAGAATCAGCTAAGGAGGCTGATTTCTATCAGTAAGTAAAGGCACACAGCATTTTGGTTTCCTTTTACCATTACTACGTGTCTGTTAAGCTGCCTTAGATCTTAATGTTCAAAGGTCCTTCATAGCTTTTTTCTTATCCCCAGCTTTAGTCAACTTTTAAAATGGCATCATTTTAACATCAGTAGAGAGATAATGTTCAGAGCTTTTGGTTGCAGATTTAGGATTAGTTTTAAAAAATATTTGAAGATGGAGGGCCAGTTTCTGAAAATTATGGTGGGGAGTATAAGCTTAGCTTGGTGTGGAATGAATCGAGTTTAGCAACTGTTGGGTGACCTCCTCAGTCTTCAGAGATTTGATGATACTTGTCCCCTGCTTCCCCCTTTCAGAACCCTGCTTTCACCAGTTCCAAGTTGGAGTCCAGTGCAGTAAATGACACTGCCAAGGAGGATTCTCTTAAGGGCAATTAGGTATCAACAAAATTCAGCACACCAAGCAACAGTGCAAAATCTGGTGGTTTCTAATGGTGGATATTTCTTAATTTTTTGACTTCTTTATCAAATTGGAGGAAATGACACTACACATACTAATTTCTGTATTTGATAGTGTATAATGGTGGTGACTAAAACTATGATCCTCCAGAGCGTCTTGGAACACAACTGATGCATACTGGCTGGGCTGATGGGGAGCCCAACAACATCTGGAGAGACACAGCTGTACAGAATTAATAAACCCCTCTGAGTCCGGAGGATTTGCTGTATTTGTGGTGGTTCTTTATGGCTTAACGGGGATGCTTACTCGATAAAGCAATGTTGCTTTTCCACGTTTTCTAAAATTGCTTTTTAATTGCCGTTGGAGCATTTTTATATGTACGTTTCTAATATCTGAACAGTACACTGCACAGTTGTCTGCTGAGTGATCAGTCGCAGGTGGAGGAGGACATGGACACTTTGAAGCGGAAGAACAACCAGTTGGTACGAGAGCGCGATCACCTCCAGCAGTCATGTGAGGAAATGAAGAGACTTCATGATGAGGATCTGAAGGACATAACAGACCTGCGCAGTCAGCTGCAGCAGGTAGCCTTTGCTCTGTTTTTGCCAGCTGAGTTCAGCTTCTCGTTTATTTTCTATTCTCTTCCCGCTCCCACTGATTTCTCAAGTGTTTCGGAGGGCACTTCAGAAGAGTGTCTCTTCCATTCCATTTCTTTAATACGCAGTGCTTATTTCTTTTCTTTAATTTCCATAGAGGACCAACCCCCCCCCCAAAAAAAAACCCAGCATCTGTGATGTCAACTGCATGTAGAAGACCAAAAGGGAATATTGCAGGTTTCATATCAGAGATGTGAAGGATGATGGGAGCTGTAATCCAACAATATCAAGAGGGTGCCACATTGACTGCCCCTACTACATAGGGGTGTTTTCTAAGTCAGGTGTGGGTAGCTTGAAACCTTGAAATCCCTCTCCTTTCACAGCCTTGAAAACGTATTTTGAATGCAGCCTACAGGTATCTTTAAGAGAGCTTGGCTTATTCATTTCTTCTTTAACCCTGCCGTCCTTGTATAGCATCCATTTGTCAACACGTGGAGCTGTGTCTTTGTCAACCCATGTAGTTTCAAAGGCTTTTTCAGATATTACTCAGCACTAGATGCAGAAAAGGCTTTTGACAGAATAGATAAAGAATTCATGGGGTTTGTGTTACGTAAATTTGGTTTCCCTATAGAATACTGTACAGTGGTGCCTCGCAAGACGAAATTAATTCGTTCTGCGAGTTTTGTCGTCTTGCGGTTTTTTTCATCTTGCGAAGCACGGTGTCGGAAAAGTTTTGGAAAAGCTTCAAAAATCACCAAAGTCTTTAAAAACCTCAAAAAAGGCTACCACACCGTGTTCTATGAGTTGCTCCTCGAAGTCAAGTCGCAACTGTATTAACAGTGTTAAGAAAAAGGAAACAAACTTGCAAGACGTTTCCGTCTTGCGAAGCAAGCCCATAGGGAAAATCGTCTTGCGAAGCAGCTCAAAAAACAAAAAACCCTTTCGTCTAGCGAGTTTTTTGTCTTGCGAGGCATTCGTCTTGTGAGGTACCACTGTAATTGGATTAAAATGATTTATAAAAACCCAACGTCCCGGATTGTTACAAATGGAAGAATTTCGAATTTGATTAGTTTAAATCAATTATTATTTAATCTGTGCCTGGAACCATTAACAAGAACAATAATTCAGGATGAGCATATCAAGGGTGTAAAACACAACAAAGATAATTACAAAATTGTATTATTTGCGGATGATATCCTTTTATGTATTACAAAACCAGAAGATACAATTCCAAAAATTATGGAGAAAATAAAAACCTTTGGCAGAATATCGGGATATTCTATAAATCGGACAAAATCAGAGATTTTACCAATTGGGCCAGGGGCTGCATTGTATAGAAACCATCAATTTCGGATGTGCAAAGACTTTATTAAATACTTTGGTATAATGACTTCATCAGATATGTACCAAATTGTAAAATTAAATGTGAATCAAGTTATAAATGAGATTACTTTTGATATTGAAAGGTGGGGACCTTTGGGGAAAGGTTAATGTCCTCAAAATGAATGTTCCAAAGCTTTTATACATTCTTAGAGGATTACAAATACATATTCCCAAATTTTACTTCCAAAAAATAAATCAACTGTGGGGTACAAAGCCACCAAAAATATCACCACATAAAATGCAACTTCCAACTAAGGAAGGTGGCTTTGGTCTCCCAAATCTGGAACAATATCACAAGGCCTACCTGCTGAGTAAGACTAATGATTGGAGAGCTAGCAGGAATCCCAGTTGGGCTACTCTCGAATATAGTTTCTTTGAACCTCTTGAAGGGTGGACTAAACTCGGCTCTAATTTTATGAAATATCCTATTATCCTGGAGACTATTAAACCACCTATAAAAATTTGGATGAATATAAATAAAAATAATAAGGATGACCCCTATCAGCATGAGAAATTAACAATATGGGCCAACCCAAAATTAAAAATTGGAAATCAAGTAATAATTTGGCAAAATTGGATGAAAAAAGGTATTTTGACATTGAATCAATTAATTGATGAAAATTGCAAATTTGTGGAATATAAGACTTTGCAAGTAAAGTATGGATTAACTAGTGAAACACAATGGCAACACATCCAATTGAAACATATGTTGGAAAGGCAGTTTGGTCCTGACGCTATAGCAGCATCGGAAACACCCCTGCTGCTACAAGATTTAATTTCTGCAACAAAAACAAACTCTACACTTGCACTATATAAAACCCTACTCAACAGGAAGAAATATGATTTTGAATATGATAGACAAAAATGGAGTGAAGAGTTAGGGGTACAGATAACAGATGATATATGGGAGTCAAGTATAAAATCAACAGAAATAGCCTCTATGGATCTAAGACTTATTCAGCAGAAAATAATATTCAGAGTCCACTGGACTCCAGCAAAACTTTACCAGAAGAAAATAACAAATGCAGACAACTGCTGGAGATGTGGAAGTAAAAATGTGAACTTAGTACATATGATGATTAACTGCCCGATGATAAGATCATTTTGGTGCGAGGTGAAGATATATATAGCAAGAGTAATAAAAAGAAATTGTTATTTAGAGGAATTGAATTTAATTCTAAATTATATACTGGAAACATGGGAGATTACAAGGGGTCAAAAAAAATGGATGTACCGTGCCATATTAGAAGCAAAAAAACTTGTTCTGATGAGTTGGAAGAGCCACAAAAAGATTCCATTGAGCACATGGATTGACAATATGGACGGACTAGCCGCATATGAACGAATTGCACGTCGGCGCAAATTAAGAATAGATAAATATGAAGAAATCTGAAAGAAATATTTAAGCGATAAGGCGGACGGTGGTGGGAAGTAGGGGGATGAGAGTTGGGGAAATATTGTTAAAAAGGTGTAGTCATAGGTATATCAGTACTCAAATCTGAAATGTTAAATTGTGTTATTAGTGTTATTGTGGTTTTTGTTGTATGTGTTTTTTGTGGTTGTTATTTGTATTGAAAAAATGATTAAATATTAATAATAAAAACCGGCAAAGGGTTCTTTTGCTCTGAGTAGCTTATGAGCACTCTCTGGAAATAGATGCATGCCTACCAATTGACCCCAATAAACGTGTATTAACATTGACAGGGCCATAAAAACAAGTGTTTCGAAAACAATCCATTATCCCTTTGTTGAGAATATATTTTAATGGTTTTAGCTTAATTTTGAGCATTGTTGTTGTTGTTTAGTCGTGTTCGACTCTTCGTGACCCCATGGACCAGAGCACGCCAGGCACCTCTGTCCTCCACTACCTCCCACAGTTTGGTCAAACTCATGCTGGTAACCTCGAAAACACTATCCAACCATCTCGTCCTCTGTCACCCCCTTCTCCTTGTGCCTTCCATCTTTCCCAGCATCAGTGTCTTCTCCAGGGAGTCTTCTCTTCTCATGAGGTGGCCAAAGTACTGGAGCCTCAGCTTCACGATCTGTCCTTCCAGTGAGCACTCAGGGCTGATTTCCTTCAGAATGGATAGCTTTGATCTTCTTGCAGTCCATGGGACTCTCAAGAGTCTTCTCCAGCACCATAATTCAAAAGCATCAATTCTTCGGCGATCAGCCTTCTTTATGGTCCAGCTCTCACTTCCATACATCACTACTGGGAAAACCATGGCTTTAACTATACGGACCTTTGTTGGCAAGGTGATGTCTCTACTTCTCAAGATGCTGTCTAGGCCTGTCATTGCCCTTCTCCCAAGAAGCAGGCGTCTTTTAATTTCGTGGCTGCTGTCACCATCTGCAGTGATCATGGAGCCCAAGAAAGTAAAATCTCTCACTGCCTCCATTTCTTCCCATTCTATTTGCCAGAAGGGCAATTTTGAGCATTACGCATCTATAATAGGGCTGCAATGGACATTGTAACTGGTGTGCCACCTTGTGGTAGACTTAAAAAGAACTGCAGTTGCATTTTGTCTCATAATAGTGGACAGATCAAAGAAAGGAGGAGCTTGGGGCTGGCGGGGGTATGATTTTGCCATTCAGACTTAGAAGGACACAGTGGGAGAAGATCCATGTTCAGGAGACACCTTTGGGTGGGGTGATATATTGGGAGAAAGCCCCGTGAAGAGACATTGGATTAAAAGTGTCAGAAATCAATAGAAGGGAAGGTGAGAGTATATTATTTTCAAGGAAAACATCAGTAACTGTGTCAGGCAGGGGAGCCCCTTAAACTTGCTGGCTACTTTGATGCCCTGTATAGTTTTACATCTTAACATGTACATTACATACATGAGAGGTGTTCTGGGCCTTCTGGTGTCCAAAGGGTATTTAATCAATGTTCATATGCTAATAAATTGAGTATAAATCCCAGTGATCATGGAAAGCTAAATCTCTTAAGAGCAGCTACTTGTATACAGATGGAGCGATTTCTTTTCAGAAGGGGAGGGAATATGCTGCACAAAGTCTGGGTACTGTTAACTGCTGTTTATGTTCCTTCATGGATGTTACAGGCCCTTTTCATTCCTGGAATTCCTCTCCTTCCATTCTATACTGGAGTTTTTTTTAAGGAGAAAACTGAAATTAAATCTAAAAAGGTTACTCCGTTTGTCCAAGAACTTATTCAGCTTTTTACATGAGCAGAACCATGTGTTGTGCCATGAAACTAGCTTTTCAAAGCCCTGAGGATTCTGTACAGTCTCTTTGGAATGCAGCACTAGCAGCTATTTTCCTTCTGCTTACAGTTCTTTGGCTCTAAGCATGTTGTGATTTTTTAAATATGTTACCTCGTCAGCTCTTTTGAGGGCCCTAGTGAGCAGAAAATAAAACCTCCCTGTGTTTCCCCCCTCCTGTTTACAATATGACTGAAGTTTATCTGCCAGGAATTATTATTCAGAATATCTTCCGTTATTCCAGGTAATGAAGCAGAATGGGTCGTCGCAGACACTCAATAAACCCTACAAGAAAGCAATGGGCAAGCTGGAGGGCGTGAAGAAGGATTACGATGCACTGAGGAAGCGGTACAATGAGAAGATAGCGAGCTACAATACTGATCTGAGCCGCTTAGAGCAGAAGGAAGGTGAAAACAGGCGACTCCAGAAGCAGATTGACAAGCTGAACAGAAGGTAGAAGATGCTTTTGCCAGAAAGCCATTTCATGTTTTTGTTTTTTACTAGAACAAACTTAACACTCAAGTTACCTCTCTGAACTTTCCTGGCTTTAGTCATGGTTTTTCTGCTTGCTCCCTAGTGACCAAAAATCGCCCAAACAAAGTTGACCTGACTGAGTAGCCGCATTTTGTTCATGTGTTTGCTCCAGCCACATATAAAGTGCTGGGTATGTGTGCCTGTGTGAGGGCTGCATCCCATGATGCAAAAAACTTTTGTGCACACAGTGACACCTCCTCTTTCTCTCCTCTGGAGCACATTTGGGGGAGAGATGTGGAGGTAGAGAGGAAACTGAACTCCTGCTGCAGAAGTGGATTTCTGCTTGCACGGCGTTCAATATAATTTTATGTGTCCCATGTCTACGTAAAAACATCATACGTGGGTGAACTATTCCCCTCCCCTGCACCATAGTTTGTGAAGTGAAAGGAGCTCATCTCCTTTCACCAACATTTCTTTTATAATGAGATGAGAACCACTGCTTCTCTCCCCCCCCCCGCCACTCCCACATTGAAATGTGAGCAGGGCAGTAATGTGACAAAGAAAACATGGCTGACTCTCCCACTTCTTATTTAGTCCTTTACACAGTTTAGTTTGGTGTGTAAAAGAGGAAGGAAGCTTTCATAGGGCCCCCTTTCTCTTACAAGTGGTGAAAGGACTTGCTGTGACTCTCCTCCCACCTCTCTTTAGGTTTGGGACCGTGCAGCAGGAACTGAGCAAGGCCACTGCCCAAAACAAGGAGCTACAGAGAGAGATGGAGCAGATGCAGGCAGAAGTGACAAGGTTTAAGACAATGCAGCTGAAAGCAGTGAAGGATGCAGAGAAGTACAAGGAAGAGAGGGACGCCGTTTTCACCGAGTATTGTCTCATCATGAGCGAGAGGGATGAAGTCCTCAATGAAATGGATAGGCTGGATACAGAGTTGGAACTTGCCGAATCCAAATTGAAAAACATGTCCTCAGAGAAAAGAGTGGCTAGTGGGGAAATGGAAGCCTTAAGACAGGTGTGATGTTGTGTGGCACTTGCTCTGGCCAGAAAGAGTTGTTCAAACCTAGTGGTGTTGCATGTGTAACTGTCTGCAAGTTTCTAGACCAGCCTTCCTCATCCCGGTGCCTTCCAGATATTTAGAACTACAGCTGGCAAAACAAAAGTCTTAAGTATTATTGCCCTCTGTGCCAATCATCCCTTGGTCAGAATTAACTTCTCTGATTTCTCTATTATTACTTGGGGCTGCAGAGTGTTTCATTTTTTTATGCAAGCAAATATGTGTTGCAGCTTTAAAGATATTTGCTAGTTGCATCTAATGCATGCTTTGTGCTGTATTATTCCTTCTTATGCATGGCACAGGCTTTCAAAAATTCAGTGTGTTTTCATTAAGAGAAAGACTTTCTTGTACACTTAATGTACCTCCAATGATGGATTTTTATTTTATTTTAGGAGCTGAACTCGGTGAAGGAAGAGAGAGGTGTGGCTAGGAAGAACAAAACGGAAGCCATTATCCAGGTAGGGTGGGCTCACGGAATGATAGTGTACAGCTGAGATGCCCAGTTACAGTGGTATCTCGGGTTACAGATGCTTCAGGTTACAGACTCTGCTAACCCAGAAATAGTACCTTGGGTTAAGAACTTTGCTTCAGGATGAGAACAGATATTGCACGGGAGCGGCAGCAGGAGGCCCCATTAGCAGTTTCAGGTTAAGAACGGACCTCCAGAACGAATTAAGTTCTTAACCCGGGTACCACTGTATTTGCTAGGGGCTGCAGCCCTGTTGCATTCAGTTGAAACTGTTCTCAGGATGGCAGTCCTGAACTAGGGGAAGAAAACAATAGGCAGTAATGTTGGCTTTGTTTTTAGGGGGGGTAAATAGTTCAATATGAAAATAAGGGCCACATTAGCTACTGGTGATTTGTGTGTGCTCCATGCATGTATGAGTGGTGTGTGTTTGTAGCTAAAGACAGCAATTTCTCAATAATACAGGGATGGGAAGGGTCCTATTGTTAAGAACAAAAAGGCTGTATGGAGTAAGGAGTGCAGATCCCTTTCTTCAAATGTTTTCTTCCTCCCAGCTGAGCACAGTTCCAATATGTGAGCTCAGCTGAGGAGGAAAGCATTTGGGAGAAGGATAGCAGGGAGGGGACAATGGTGCCCCACTCCTTACCCATACATTCCTTTTGGTTTTTTATTCTTTAAAAAAAGATGTCCCCCATGAGATTGATATATCTCCATATAACTACCAGGGAATGCAGTTGGATTTTTCTCCGTAATAAGTAAACTTGTTCCGGAGGAGCACTTTATATTGCTTACAGCAGAAATCTTGCAGATCTCTTGTGAAATTCAGGGCCTAAAGGAGTCCCCCCCCCCCTTATTAAGCCTGACTCTTTTTCCTTTTGTTCTTTAAAGTAGGTTCTTCTGATGCATATGTGCAGTGCTCTGTGGTTAATAGGCCTGAGCCTTTGAGCCCCGAGAAGGAGTCCCAGCCACCTCCTCCTTCTCCTCACCTTTACCTGAGGGTCTCCCCGCCCTGCCGCCGTTGTTTTCTGGCCAAGCCCTTTGGAGAGGAGGAAGAGGACCCACACCGCCGCCACCAGCGGCATCTGCCATGCAGTCTACTTCTGCAAAGTGGCTGAAGGGACTACGTCTTTATTGAATTTTGTGTTGAGGATGTTAATGTAAATTTTGAGAAATCCAAACTTTTGTTCAGTTGTCTTGGAGGAAACGATAACTTCAAGCATTTAAATGAAATTGATCTTTATAATTCAATTGATCCAAATGAATCCAAGCAGAAAAGAACAGACAAATCTGTCTAATGTTGTTTGTGAAAAGGAGAAAAAGGTGTCTTCAGGGTATGTTCCACTAATTTTTAATGCTCTTCATTTTGTTGTTTTTAATCACTAGTTAGTATTCAAGATATCCTAGTTAAAACTAGCTATTCCTTTTGAAACTTAAAATGAGTAAAGCCTATACATTTGTTTGTTTGATCCTCAAAGCTCTTACATCTCACTAGGGCTGGATTAGAGCCTAGAGGTTGTTGCTTGTCAATCTGTACATTTAGACCAAATTGTATTTGCACTGTTAGTATGAAAGCGAGTGACAAAATGTTAATACACTATATGATCTTCTTTTGGGTGTGTTTGTTGTTGTTTTTTGACCAGTTTGTGTTCAAAGCAGTGGTGATTTTTTTAATGTCTACATTATTTCTAATAAACTGTTGAAGACTCTATGGCTGTCAACTGGCTGGCTGGCTGGCTGTAACCTCATGTATTCTTATTATTTGTTGTAATGGAATACTTAATTTCTAGTTGGAATAAAAGTGGGGGATTATTTCATCTGTTTGAAGGAGGAAAATTATAATATTCCCAAGCAAGTTTTTTTTTTTTTAAAGGATCTGTAAGTTGTGGGTACACTGACAGTTTAAAGGGGAAAATGTTGTGATTTGACTAAAGTAAAAGCAAGTTTTGACTTCCTTTTTTTAAAAAAAAGGTAGGTTCTTCCAGCAACTTGCAGTATAGGACAGAAGGAATAAAAATACCATGGACGCCAAAGTACCAGAGGACCGTCATTGGCTCCAGTAGGGGTAATATATATATTTATATTATTTCTTTCTTGGGAATGGCTGCATGAATGGAGAGTTCTGCGTTCTAGCTAGTAGATTTTTGTCAATGTTTAGAACAGGGCACTCCCTGCTTTTTTTGGGGGGGGGGGTCACATTTGGAAATCTAAGAAACTATCATGGGCACCACAACATAGCCCATTGGAGAAGAAAAATACAATAATGGAATGAGAATAGCCTCCTCCTCGCAGCACCAGGTAAAACACCCATGCACGCCCCCTTAACAAATACAACACAGGCACAAAGAGAGGTGACCCCCAAATTAAAAACAAACCAGACCCTGATTTATTTATTTTTTAATTGAGAGGGTTAGGAAGAGGGGCTAAGGGGGGAGTCTGAATGTACCATGGTGCACATTGGGCAGTCTATGTTTTGAGCAAGGACATGTCCCCATCCCATATTTCTAGTGCATGCGTATTAAAAACATTCTCTCTTACCCCCTCAACCTCTCAGTGTTAGTATGAAATTTTCCATGATAAAAATGTGGTGGGGTAGTCTTTAAATAGCGCACGTAATTTAACATTTAGGTGTTGTTCTTGTTGGAAGCCCACTATTAAAATACTTGGAAGCCAATGTAAAGTAACGGTGTGACTTCCCCGATAACTTTTGCAACACATCCAACTGCCATGGCTGCTCCTGTGCTGTTCTATACAGGTTCACTGTCTCATCCTGAATGTAGCAGCCCCAGCCTAGTAACCCCACCGCAGTCGCCGCTTAACCTGGAGACCTCGTCCTATCATAATTGATACTGTGAATGAACAGGATGAAGGGATCACGACACCTCCATCCAAGCAGACCACCCCAACCACCAATCCCTGCAATTCAATCAGGTAACCTGCTTCCTCATTTTATCATTAATAGCTATATCCCTCACCTCTTTATACCATTCTTCCATTTTATATTCTGCTTGCCCCTTCCTCGGTTTTCGAACAGCTTAGTTTCCGAATAACTTGGAACCTGAACGCTGCAAACCCGGAAGTAGGTGTTCCTGTTTTCAAACTTTGCCCTGGAACCCAAACGGGGTCCGTGAGCTTCTGTTTTTACTGTTGCGTAGCCAATTTCAGTCCCTCGCATAGTAATTAAGCCTTTATTCTTCCCGCTTCTACCCTTGCACCGTTCATTTGAGTCCCCCCGATCATAATTAAGCCTTTTTTTCCTCCCTCTTCTGCCCTTGCACCACTCATCTGAATCCCCCCCCCATCATAATTAAAGCCTTCCATTTCTGATTGCAGTGTTCTTAGGTGATATTTGGTGCTTTTGTTTTTGCTATTTTTTGCATTTTTGTGGCTTTTAAATTTTTGTGACTGTTGCTTGTTTTTTGTTTTATGATTGATTGATTGATTGATTGATTGTGTGTGTGTGTGTGACAGTGAAAATGGAAAAAAGCCCCCCATCCAAACAATGACTATCATCAGTGTAGGTAAGGGGAAAAAATAATTTTATTTTTTATCATCTACAATACAGTCTTATTTTATAGTACAGAACACTGATTACTGCTTTCATTTTATGGATTAATGGTCTTGTTCAGGCTTCCTCAACCTCGGCCCTCCAGATGTTTCGAGACTACAATTCCCATCATCCCTGACCCCTGGTCCTGCTAGCTAGGGATCATGGGCGTTGTAGGCCAAAAACATCTGGAGGGCCGAGGCTGAGGAACCCTGGTCTTATTAGATAGTAAAATTCATGTTAAATTGCTGTTTTTTTAAAGTCTGGAACGGATTAATCCGTTTTGCATTACTTTCTATGGGAAAGTGCGCCTTGGTTTTGGAACTGACTTCTGGAACGGATTAAGTTTGAGAACCAAGGTACCACTGTATATCAGAGACTCCAAGGTGAACCAGGAACCTCCTGATTTGAGGCTGGGACTTTGCTGATTTAAGCTCCTTGGGACTATGCATACTTGAGCCTCAGCGGTGTCCTCAGGTTCAGGACAGGGAGTGGATGTCAGTCCTTGCAATTGGTAGGCAGCAAGGAGCCTGTGGAATGGCCAGGCCTGGTAGAAAGAAATACTTCTTCTCATGCCTGGTCAACAGAGTAGTAACTTAAAGCTCCCACTTCTCCCTCTACAGCCATTTCAAGAATCCCAAATAGGAGGCGACCAGTTCCAGGGCTGATGCGGACCCCCTACCTGGGGGTGTATATTTATATTGTTAATGGGATGGATTCAGACTAAGTTTGATGAACTTAATTCCCATTGATTTCAATGGGAGTTGAGTAAGTCATGACTAATTTTATCTCAATGGGACCCAAGTTCAACTAACATAGTCCAGACCCAACCCATCAAGAGGGCTTTAGAGCTATGCTTCACCACTGTATCATTATGCTTCAGAGCCATACATGCTCTGTATGGCTCAGCTGGTTAGAGCATGGGGCTGATAACATCAAGGTTGCAGGTTCAATCCCCATATGGGACAGCAGCATATTCCTGCATTGCAGGGGGTTGGACTATATGATCCTTAGGGTCCCTTTTCAACTCCACAATTCTATGATTGTATTATTTTACCCCTGTGCTTCACATTAGAGCCATCTGTTAAAAGGCAGTCCAGCAAAATATCACAGATCCTGGTGGGGGACAGAAGCTGGGGTTTTACTTAGTTTCTTCAATAGTTTATATTATTAAATACACATTATTTAATTGTGTGGCTAAAATTACTTAAGGCTATTCAAGGAGTTCATGACTGAGATAAGCTTTGAACCAGAAAACTGCTGGCTCACTTATCTTTTTCTCTTTTTTAAAGAAGTGCTCTCTCTAATACTTAGTCATTTTCACAAATCTCTGGGAGGTAGATTAGTATTATTCAATTTTACAGGCTATGGAATCATTCAAGAATCCTTAACAGGGCTGTGCTGAGCCTAAGGCTCACTTCCTCAATCATAATAATAATAATCATAACAATAATTATCCTTCAGGTAATTAAGGGGAGATTATTAAATTTGTTGAAAAGGAAGTATGGAATCACCATAAATACAGTTTGCCTTTTTGTGACTGAACTTTTGATGCCAATTTTGTAGGCGTGCTCTTGAGCTGTATTCATAAAAGTGGGATGCATGCTCGCTTCTGTTGACTATAGCATCAAGTGACAACTTTTATGTATAAATAAACCATTGCAGATTAAGTCACTGGAGACAGTGCTGTCCTGTTCCCTATAGTCAGTTCAAACACAATGTACACAATGCTTTCAATGCAGCCCATTTGCATGTTCATCTGCAAGCCATCAAGTGATGAAAGTTCAAGAGATGCTCATATCTGTGTGAATTAGCCCACAGTTGTAGCAGATGAATAGTCTCCTAGTTTACCAATTGAACTTTTACATACCTGACATAGAATCCATCTCCAGGTAACTCTTTGATCTTGTTGAATTCTTCTATTCTGTACTGAGCTTTTATTCTAACATTTTCACCTGGCTTGAGCATTTCAAGATAAGCTTCTTCGGCTGTTTTGTTCCGCATGTCAACAGATCCATACTTGGGGGGGGGGGGAGAAGAAACAAAAACACTTGAAATCTCCAATCGGATGCACGTGTCTAATGAACCAAACAGTGAAAAGGATGTTATGTGGGACTAGAGAGCCTGACTACGCCAAAAGAGGGGGAAAGGAAATACATTCACAGTGCATTAAGAACCCAGCGTCTTCGCTAATGGAAAAATGCGGAAATGGCAACCCAGTCCAAAAATACAGCTGGACAGCACAAGTTTTCAGAAACGTCATTCATTGGAGAATGTCTAGGCCATATTTCATCCATGCATCACTGCTCTGAATCTTAAGCATCCTTGCTGGTCTCAGATGATATTCCACCTCAAATTTTGTACATTTTCCAACTGAGACCTAATAGATTTCCTGCTTATCTCAACCTTCCTCATCACACTAGAATATTTGAGGGCCATATCAGATGTAGTTGTACAATTATTTTTCCTTATGGTATATTATTTTTCCTCTCCAAAAACACTAGCAGCATCCTGGAATCTCAAATGAAGGATCAGCTGGAGTGGTGGTGGCATGTGGGTGCATGAGAAGAGGAAGAAAACAAGGGATGAATTCCCCTTTCCTTGCTATCCACTTTTGTCCGCTAAAAACAAAAAACCCAAGCTGCTTTCCCTTTCATGGGGGAAACTATGGATGTGTTTTTGCATCCACAGATTCTGCAAGAGTTTGAACCACCAACCACCTTCCTTTTATATCTACTGCTTACCTCAAGTATCATGTCTCCAAGCACCAGCCCATCAGGTCCTTTGGCAGGGCTGTCATCTTCTACATCGGACACAAAAATACCATGTAGGTTTCCACCACAGATCTGGATTCCGAGTTCCACTTGGGACTTCTTAATGGTAACTGTTCTGGGTTCAGGTGTCCTCTTGCTGGTGTCTACAGAATTCCTTTCAATGGCAAGAGAAGAAGAGAAGACACCCAAGGCCTGTTTGACAAGCTGATCCTCATCAGGTCCTGCTCCTCCGAACCCTCAGCTCCAGCCAGCCCTTAACCCCTGTTCCCTTGCTAGCTCTCAGCAAGACAGGCCCCAAAGATGTCCCAGCTGCCCCCATTTGAGTTCGCTGTGGCATTATTTGGCAGGAAGGAATCGACTCCTTTCCACCATGCAGGGCTTTCCCCCCCAGCCAGAACTTGCCAGAACTCAGTACCAGCACCTCTCAGGTGGGCACCAATGCCATTATAAAAGAATAAGAGAGGCATTCATGGTGAGTTCCAGCACCTGTTTTTCTAGAAAAATAGCACTACCACCATGGATCCAGATTAAGTGTTTCTCTTGGGAACTCCCACTCCCTTGTGCTGAATTGCTTGGCCCCGGAGAAGGGTAATGTGAGGACCAAGCTCCTTGTAGAAGTGGAGCCCTTGCTTTTAAATCTGGCACTCAGTTTTCAACTCTACTCCCCTTGAATCAGTCTCTAGAATATAGAGCAGCTGCCCACCCCCCACCCCGCCCCCAGACACTGAGAGAGAAAGAGAGAGGGGGGGAAATTAACACATGCCATTAAGGTAAGGTGGGGAATATGCAGGCAAAATGATTTTGAGGAGATATGGAGGGTGTTTGCAGAATTTGTACTGTTAAAACAGAAAGAGGTCACACCATCGCAAGAGGTGTTGAAATTTTGGGAGGTTGGATAGTTACAATGGAATGGTCTCAGTGGTGGGTGCACATTTTTATTATTATTTATTTATGATTATTAGTTTGTCAAAAAGAAAAAAGAAAAAGAATATTTAATAAAATAAAATAAAAAGGGTCTCTTCATCTCTCTTTTTTTGCAGGGCACTTTATGACCGGATGGCAGAAGTGGAGCAGGACTTGAGCTTCAAGAAGTATGACATTTTGTACGTTGATGACACTCTTCCGCAGGGGAACTTTGGCTGCTGGTTGGCGTGGCAGCTGGATGAAAATGCCCAAAAGCTGGAAAGGGGACAGATTCCCAGCAAATACATGTAATTAAATCTCTGAGAAACAAATGGTGTTTGCCTCATTGCTAAAAGGGGGCAGTTACGATGAAGTATGAATGAAAGCCAAGTGTTTTGTTCTTCAAAGCCTTGCTGTTAATGTTGAAGGGGATATTAAGTTTCCCAATAAAGTTACTTGAGAGAGGTGGCATGTTTTAATAACTCTCAATTAAAGAAACTATTCCGTCAAGTCATTTTTAGTGCTGCCGATGGTTGCCTACTTCCTAAAAATGGAAAGGACTTTGTTTTTGTGCTTTTATTCCGGGACAGCCTAAGTGGCTTCCCGTCGTCATGCCGCAGCACTTTCAGACAGGGATGGATGGCATCCATATTTAGTTTTGGTCCATGGGTTGGAACATAAGAGAACACCACATTTTCCCTTTAATCCACCAAATTAATGCTTGCTTTTTAATAAAGATCAAGGAGATTAAGATCAAGGGGCAGAATTGGGCACTGCTGTCTCAGCTAAGATCCTGATGTCATGGTGTATATGCAGCCAATTGGTGGAGGGGGGTGTCCCTCATTCTGGCTGCCAGCTTATACTTTTTTTGGTTTTCACTCACTCTCAGGTCTTTGACTTGATCATATCATTCTCTTTCTCCCTCTTTGCAATAGCATTTCACCAACCTTCTCACTTCATTTCCCTCCATCTTACCTTGGAACTGTAGAATCATGGGGTTCTAGTGTGGCCATACCTGCTCTCCTCTTTTGTATGGGACTCCATTATTCTTACTATTTTTTAATTCTTCACTTTGTGCTTCAAGTTTCTATACCTACCCACTTAGATGACCACCACACAAGGAACAGAAGCTCATTATTTGACTTAGGTTGGGCATCTGAGGTTGGGCTCATGGTTTGGCTTCCTCCAGACAAACCATGAGTAGGGAGTCTTAATTACAGCTCATGGTTTGTCTGTAGTGAGACATGCCACAAGCCTAGGTTGGGTGCAGAGGCCACAGTCTTCACCCCAGGAATCCTCGTGTTTGCTCGATTGTGGTAAGTCATGGCTTGGTTTAGCTCAGAACCGAACTTACGTCCTCAAGTCAACTACAAATGACCCCATAGTGAGGCCTGTCTTAAGATCCATTGTTGGTTTTACTGCTACCTATATTCTGTTTGAGAGCATTTCAGACTTTGCCCAATTAAGTCCACAATTCCTTTGCAGGATGGAGCAGGAGTTCTACAGGAGGCACAGCATGTCCGAAGCTAAAGATGAAAACAGCTCTGCAAAGACATCATCGGCAGCAGCTCGGAGGTCGTTCTTTAGGAGGAAGCACAAGCACAAACACAGCGGGTCCAAAGATGGAAAGGAACTGCTAGCCCTTGACACCATCAGCACAGACTCCATCCCTTTTTTGGATGGCAAGTGTCTTAACTGAATTTGCTTAGCCCACAACAAAATTATCTAGGTTTATTTGCACATTGGTAAAGGAGGGCCTATGACTTTGGGTTTCAGAACAAAACAAAACAGGAGTTGAGGCAAGGGTGAGCGGGGGAGAGTCAGCCTGCCATATCCACTGCATGTTCTAAGCTGTTTGGTGCCAGCCAAATGCCATGTATCTCATGTCCCACTCTCTCACACATTTAATCTTTTACATACAAGACTGATTAGCATGTCCCATAACCCTTCTTAAAGTATATTTCCACATGTCCCCATAAATCTGCTATTCACAGTAGCTAAGAAGTATGGATTTGGATCATTAGCTATAGAATGTGGAGTTTCTCCAGTTGTTCCCAATGATCTTTTTCTGTATTACCTGTTCAGGCTTTTTTTATTATTGTTATTCAGATTTTGTATTGTTAGAGAATTCAGATTCACAATATTCAGACAGCGACTGTCCCACACCTCCGTTACCTTCACTATCATGGGCCCTTGAGCTGTTGCATTCTTTTATTTATTTATTTTCCTGATCATGTAAGCAACTCTCCGTTTCTCTCCAGATTCTGTAAACCTTGCTTATCAACGAGTCCAGAAAGTGGACTGCACGTCTCCCAGGCCTGTGCTTATTCTAGGGCCATTACTTGATGCTGTGAAGGACATGCTAGTCAAGGAATCTCCAGGAAAATTTTGTCGGTGTCCTCTAGGTAAATATGCCAGCACTTGAAGGTCCTCTAGTAACAAAAAGTTGGTCTCCAGAGGGAGCAGTAGAAAAACAATGGTTGCTTAGGTGTTATGGGTAATTCAGGTGACACACATCCTCTATCGGCAATATTTCCCTTCTAAAATACCTCTTTTCCTTTGCCCATTTGGCCATTGTGCTGCTCTGCATTCTCAGGTATTCTTTCCTCCTCTCCCTCTTCAGCTTATAGTTCTCCCTCTGCTCTCTTTCCTCTAAGTTTTTTCTCCTTACTGTACTATTCATCTTCCCCCCTACAGCACACAGAGGAAACAAACCACAATATCCGGTTTAGTGTTATCTCCGAACCAGAGATGTTGGTTTTTTTTTCACTCCCAAAAAACTAGGATCAAGAACAAATATGAGCTATGTATTGTTGGGAGGGAAACAAACAGTGATCCCTGGTTTGGGATGGAGCAGTTGATCCAAGAGTCGTATTTTGTTTCTTTCCAGTGTGTATAGGGAAGACACAGACCAGAAAGACTCAATTGTGGGAAATTGCTAAATATGAGTTGTGAACAATGCCGTTACCTTGTTGTTTTCAGTTCAAAAGAAAAGTAAATACAAGCCACATCAGCCAAGGTACAGGTGCTGCTTCACACTCCTGGTTAAGCAGAAGTACCAAGTGATGGTGCAGCGTTTAGCAGCACAGTCTCCCTTCCCTTGTGTGCAATTTATTAAACTCTTTATCTGCTTGCTTCTTTGGGGAGAGCGCTTCCTGACAGTTATGCATGCAGCCTGGAAATCCTCATTTGACAGCACGGACTTATTAAACAGTTGCCCCAGCCTGGATTTATTAAGGCATAGGTTTATGAAGCAGTTGTCATGCTACAGAGCCAACTGGGCAACTGCTGTAACAGCCTCCTTGCTTTTCCCCAAGACTCTGTGTGTGGTCCTACATTGAATGAGGCAGGAGAGACGACAGCAGTGCTCCCCCCCCCCCCGCAATTTTCTCTTCTTTCTCTCTGCCATAATGTATCATCCCTCTACCCTGCCCCATTCTAGAAGGGAGGAAAAACATATCATGGTATTAGCTTGTGCGAATATTGCATTGTGGGGAATGTGCAGCTGTGGGTGCATATTCCTTGATGATCCAGTTAAGCCCTTCAGTAGACATAAGGCCAAATGATTGCTTTTAACTGGTTTAAGTATTAGCGTGCTTTATATATATATATACTGTGCCTTATATATATACTTTATATATATACTGGGACGTGGGTGGCGCTGTGGGTAAAACCTCAGCGCCTATGACTTGCCGATCGTCAGGTCGGCGGTTCGAATCCCCGCGGCGGGGTGCGCTCCCGTTGCTCGGTCCCAGCGCCTGCCAACCTAGCAGTTCGAAAGCACCCCCGGGTGCAAGTAGATAAATAGGGACCGCTTACTAGCGGGAAGGTAAACGGTGTTTCCGTGTGCTGCGCTGGCTCGCCAGATGCAGCTTGTCACGCTGGCCATGTGACCCGGAAGTGTCTTCGGACAGTGCTGGCCCCCGGCCTCTTAAGCGAGATGGGCGCGCAACCCCAGAGTCGGACACGACTGGCCCGTACGGGCAGGGGTACCTTTACCTTTATATATATACTGTACGTGTGTAAAGGAAAACTTGGGTCTGAAGCATCCGAATGCCGCCTTCCTGTGAAAGTAAAAATGAATAAACCATTCTTTGTTTTTGTTCTTCCAAAACAGAGGTGATGAAAGCTTCTCAACAAGCCATCGAGCGGGGTGTGAAGGACTGTTTATTCATAGATTATAAACGTAGGAGTGGACATTTCGATGTAACAACTGTTGCCTCAGTAAAGGAGATAACAGAGAAGGTGCTTCTCTCTCTCTCTCTCTCTCTCTCTCTCTCTTCTTTCTCTCTCTCTTTTTATGGTAGCTTTATTTTTTCCTCTTAAAAAAGGCACCCACCCACAGTTCTGCTGTAGCTAAACTTGTTTGGGCCTGCCAGCTTCCCGAGTGGGAGACAGTCTGGAACCACACAAAAACTTATCTGAACTCTTTGGAGAAGAGGCAACTCAAAGGAGATAGAAATATGACCCTTTCTCAATTACGTTTGCATTCTTATATTTAAAAACTGGATTGATGTGCTGTTTTGATTCTGTAATCCCTAGATTAAAGTGGCTAAGTAGGTAAGGCAGCAAGTCTTGTATTTGAGTCTAACCTCTGGTATTGTTGACTTCCAGAGCACATGGCAGTAACTTCCCATGGCACACTGGACAAACTTTCTGCCCCTGTTCTTAAGCTTACACTTCACGGGCCAAATTTGATGCAACATGGCAGCCAATATTATCATTATTTAACAACCTTACATAGTGTGGGATTGTAATAAACCTCAAAGCCATTTGTTGTTCGCAATTTACATGCCGCCTTTCATCGTAAGATCTCAGTGTGGTTCATGGAATAAAATACAGGATAAAAACAAGTAAATAAGTAAATCAGAACAGTAAAACAATACCCCCCCTCCCACAGATACAATTAAAAGGCAGTAGAATATTAATCGCAGGTGAAGAGTGGGAGGTTTCTGCTGCTTCTTTCAGGAAGAGCACCCATCCGAGCTCCCCACGTCCTCTCTCCATGTCCCATTGCTACAGGAACTTTTATCTCAGGCCAGCTCTGCTACTGGCAGTAAACCAAGCTGATGAGAAAAGTGCTTTTAGGCCATTTGGAAGTTTCAGGTCTGCTCACCTGAGCGCAACTTCCATGGTAAAAAAGCATGCCCTGCCTGCCCCACTAATGGAGACGTATGTTTAAATAAGAACATGCCGCTTGCCTCCATCACAACTAGCGTGGGCCTAAGTAAATTTGCTATGGTGTTCAGGTTCTGCATTTGGACATCCCAAAGGCATCTGGCTGGTCACTGCGAGACGCTGGGTCTTTAGTCCAGCAGGCTCCCCTTCTATTGTTAACTGGGCAGATGGGAAAGACGGCTTGGGGAGAGGCAGGTTTGATAATATTAGGCCGGTGATGAGTTTTAAGTCAGGTGTTTGCACTTCCTGGCTCCTTCTGTTGGTATATTTAAATAGTACAGGAACTGTTAGAGAGAGATAGAGGACACGGTGTTGGTGGTGGAAATTGAAGGATAGCCAAGCGAGAGAGTGAAGTAGCATGGGGGCAGTAAAAAGTACAGAAATACAAAGAGAGAATAGGAATGCAACCAGAATGGTGTCTCAGTAGTGCTAGAAACAGAGCTATCCTATATAAATAATATATGCTTGGAAAAGGGTGGGTTTTTTTTCCATGTGAGGGCTACAGATTTGCATTGGATTATATTCATTTATAATCATTTGTGGCTACTATTTTTAATGCTTTTAAAATGCCTCAAGGCCAAGGTGTACTGTACAATAATTGCATTAAGAACAGAACCCCCGGGATTTGCAAAGAAAAGTAAGGCAGTTAGGAAGGGAACAGGGAGAAGCCGGGTCAGCGCCATAGAAGCTGTTTAAACCAGGGGTAGCCAGCAAGGTGCCCATCAGATGTTCCCTGCCAGCATGATATTTAAACCCTTGCAAGGAGGGAGAGGTGCAAAAGTCAGGAGGCATTGGAGAGAGAATGAAGATGTAAAAATTGGACAAGTACCCCAAGGTTTTGGCATGATGAAACTGCTAGTGGAGGAGAGGGAGAAGAGAGGGAAGAGATCTCCGTACAGAAGAAGTAACTTTGAAAAGTGGCTCTGATAAGAAAACAGGAATCCAGGCCCAGGTGGAGTGACAGAGGCAAGCCAGCTTTGGGACCCAAGTGGCAACCACTGGGCTTTGTGAGGCAACTGCACTCACACTCGATATATCCACCTTGCACAACAATTTTCAATGCTTTCTTCCTTACAATCATGGTTCATAAAAGATAACTGAAATTTAGGATTTTAAGCAACATTTATAAACGATGTTTCCTATATATAAAGGTTTTGGACAGCCAGCCAGCGCCCTAGGGGTGCTTTCTGGTCACAGTTGACAGCACTGCCTCTGTGCAGGTGCCTGTTGATTAAGGCAGATTGCCTTCCCAGTTGCAGCAGATCAAAGGTTAGCTGCTCCTGCTCCGGCTACTGCGGTGTATCAGGCAGCCTTCCTATACTGGACACCAGGTGGCGCTCTGCACACACCATTGTATATCTATGCTGATTAAAACGGGCTGCAAATCTGTTTAGCTCCCTAATGGTTTGCCTTGTGTCCCCTAAAAAATTAAGCATTTAACGAGCTTTTTCTACATTTCTGTGTTAGAGAGCAAAAAGACCCTGTCTTTCTGAGGGACAAAGTTACTCAGAAACATTCCAAAGAACAGTTTGAGACTGCTAAGAAGATAGAACAGGAATATAACAAGTACTTCACAGGTTTGTATGCCAAAGGAAACAATAGCAAAGTGGAAGGCTGGCTTCTGATTCCTCTAGCTGGGTCGTGTTTACAGTGGTACCTCGGGTTAAGTACTTAATTTGTTCTGGAGGTCCGTTCTTAACCTGAAGCACCACTTTAGCTAATGTGGCCTCCTGCTGCTGCTGCTGCGCTGCCGGAGCACAATTTCTGTTCTCATCCTGAAGCAAAGTTATTAACCCGAGGTACTATTTCTGGGTTAGCGGAGTCTGTAACCTGAAGCGGATGTAACCCAAGGTACCACTGTATGTGTGTGTGTATTTTTCTGCAACAGCATTCCCCCCCCCCTTAGCAGTCACCTGTGTGTAGATCACAGCATAGCACCTGCTTCCCCATAACAACCAGAAGACTTATAAATCATCCCTTTAGTATTAAGCATATTCTATTTCAAAGAAAGGGAACAATCAATAAGTCTGTGTTACATGCTAGGATTTCCCGAATGGTCAGCTCAAGGGATAGGAAACCCAGCAATGTCAGGTGCTAAAAGCTGGCAGAAGCTTCTGGGAGGAGTGGGGGGCAGAGCTTGCAGCTGCCCAGTCCGATCCAGGTAAGCTGCAGTGATGCTACAGTTGGGAGAATGGTGCCATAGCTGTTTCCAACTACATAGGTTGCTGCTGCAAACTGGACCTGCCAGCCCCTGCTCAGTCACTTAGGCACTTGACTATGTCCAAGGGACAGCCTGTGCAACATTTTAATGCAAGACCCTTTTCCAATATTAGCAAGTGAGGACTGCAAGCAGACTGTGGAAGACACTGTGGTGAATGGCTAAGTAGCATTTTACTTGGTTTGAAGAACAAAGCCATTCTGTCTGTTGGTCTATATCCTGGTTTCTCTGACTGCTTGGTTGGTTCATATGCACAGTACAAATCACTATTTTTTAAAAGAATGTCGTCCCTGCCCTTAAGCTTACAACCTTAAAGGACATGTCACAAAAGGAAAAGGGGTCAGGAAGGAGGGAGGGAGGAGGAAATAAGCAAGTTCAGGGTCTTGGGTGTCCAATTTTGCCAGAATTCCCAGTAGATGTAAGAACCTACCCAGAGACACTGGACTCCAGTTAGTCTCACAAAAGTAATACTTCACCTCCCAGAGCTCAAAACAATTTTGCAGGTGACAAAATCAACCAATAAGTATGATTTTATTTTTTTTCTCTGGAGGTGGTTCCATTTTCTGTTTGCCCATCACTCCTATGATCCCCCCCGCCCCTGTTTTACAGCTGTCTGTTGACATGCTTCTGGAGGTTTGAGGGGAATTCCCCTCCTCCTCCAAGCTTTAGGGGTGGTGGCTACTCTCTCAGCCCCAAGCGCTAGCTGCCCCCCTTCCCTCAAGAAGTACAGAAAGTTCAGTTTCTTGGTAGAATTAGAGATAAACTGAGGGAGAAACAGGGAACTTAATTTATGCATGCAGATCCACTGTGGGATCCTACTAGGGTGTCTCAATGGCATGTTCCCTCTCAGCCTTGGGATTCAGTGGGATTTGTGCAGTGGAGACATGCTAATTCGTCAGGTTTTTTGGAGTGCAGCAAGATTATTGGATGGAGTAACCCTGCAACACTTTGCTTGAGAAGGGGCTTTGCAATAGGCCAATGTATCCTTATGATAGACTCTTGCTGTGTTGGTATTTTTCTCCATTGATATTGCTGTGGTAGAACAACAAAGCAACTATGACAGGCTTTGATCATAAATGCAGTTTTAACTGTTTAACTCTGAATCCCCCAGAGTGGGGTGGTAGGAAATTCCTGGCAATTTCCCCTTGTGCTTTGCCTTGCAAATCCAACTTGAATGTCCCTAAAAGCATTTAATGGGCTCTAACTGAGCACCAGTGTGTTGTATTTTCTGTTAACTTGATCCCTTGAATAAGCCTCCCAGTTCTTTTTTTATTACTATTATTATTAACCAGTCATGCCTGTTTTATTAATGAAACCCATAAACGGCCATCTTCTTATATTTGGAAATAGTGGCTTGTTGCTACGGCCATCATCTCTTTGTATATTTCTGCCTTGCTACTAAACTTAGCCTTCTGTTCAGCCATGGAGGTATATTATGCTATAACAGGGGTCCCTCTAACCATATTTAGATTTAATATGTAAACTTTGTCACCTGATGCCACTGAAAATAGCTTTTGGAGGGCTCAGTAACAAAACAGTTGTCTTAGAGGATCATACTCATGGGGCCTGGCTGCTTTCTCCTCTTGCCATGTTTTTGTTAGCTGTATTGCAACAGCAAAGGCTTTCTTAGCAGGAATGAAGGTTCTCAGAAGCTTGGCTGCTTCAACACTGATTTCTTTTGCTAACCACAAAAAGAACTCTGCTTCCACAAACGGTAAAGAAAAGTGAAAGCCAGAAAGCCCAGTTCCTTTCTCCTTTCCCAGAGCTCAATGGGAGTTACAAAAAGAGATGCCCCCTTATCTTAGGCTTCTCCCTGTGTCTTTCTCAAACTATTCCCCTGAAAGGAACAATACACAGTTTCAGTCTCCTGAAAAATCTACATCTTAGTATCTCTCTGTGTGTCTCTGCCTTGCTGTTTGTCTCTCTTCTAAGAAGCCAGTTGCCATTGCTGAAGCCTCCCTCTTCCCCACCCACCTCCCTGATGTCTTGTTTGTGATCTCTTGTGGCTGTATCTGCATATGTGCTTCAGTGACAAACTGATACCGTGGCCTATGAGAACCTTAGCTGAGCACTCCTGAATGCCATTAAAGATGCTAAGAGTTGGGTCCTACAAATTCCACCATCAACACCCAAAATCCATACAGTGAGGACGCATAGAGAAGCACACTCTGTAATGCACCTCCCTTCATTTTCCTGATTCCGGGGCCACATCAAGAGTGAGGCCTAGTTCATATAACCTCTGGTGGAGATGCTTATAGCGAAACAGGCAGTGCAGGTGCTATTGCACTCCCTCCTTTTGCAGCATCAGTTCCTGTTGCCAAAGAGGCAGGCCAGTTTTTGAACTGATAAGTGACAACAGGTGAGAAACCAAACAAAGCCCAACTGACATGCCTGGTTCTCTGCAGGTTGTTGTGAGGATAAGGGAGGGTGTCCTACATATGACCACCTTGAGCTCTTAGGAGAAAGGATGGAACATCATCACTACCAAGAAGGGGGGTATTAATCCCCCTTCCTTTTTGTTGCTTCAGTGTGTTACAATTTCTTAGCGCTAGTGCAAATTCAAACCCCCACCCCAATAAACAAGCATGCTGATTGATTGATTGATTGATTGGTGTGTGTGATCCTTCTTTTCACAGGGATTGTCCAGAGGGCCCCTCTTCCCATCATTTGCACTCAGATCATGACAACAGTTGATCAAGAACAAAACAAGGTCCTGTGGATTCCTTTTTCATAAGACTCTTGCTGCAAGCAACCTGTTCAGGTTCCCCTACCCCAGTCTTTATTTTATCACATTTAGGTAGTCTATGTAATTGGAAGCTTACATTGCTCAAGCTTTGTTCTTTTGGTGTGTAATAGCCGTAGAGATTTTTATTTAATTAGAATTGCAGCCTCTATTATTGGGATATAACAACGTCTAGTGTGGTCCTGTAACTTGTTAGTTTTGCCAGTGTCGAAAAATGTGTGTGTTTTGTTTTGTTTTTTAATTTTTGTTACAATATATTTTCTGAACTAAAAAAAGTCACTATGAAAACAATATTTTTTTAAAGAAACTGAGTATTGTGTTAAAATAAAGGTCTATTTCTATAACTTGACTTGTATGGAAGTGTTGCATAAATCTCTCTCTGACTCTGTTGTTCAGTTTACTACTCTCAACCAGGTTACAGAATTAAAACAAATTCACAGACATTTGCAATGGTTATTTTACAGTGAGATTCCAAATTGCATTTTGTTGATAGAGTTGCAATTACCCATGAAGCTAATGACTACAAAAGAAAATTCAGAGTAAAGTTTGCTTCAGTATTGATACCATTGAATTTAAAAGATGCTAGCTGACATACTACTCTATGTGCCCTTCCCATTTAACAAAAAACATAATACATTTTGAGTGTCAGTGACAAACATCTGCCTGATGGAAATTGGGCTTGGTAGATGGTCCTTTTGCTTTCCAGTGTAAGAGGCATTTGGCAAAAGGTAAAAATTCTACTACTTCACCCCTGCAGATTTGGAGTCCTAGCCCATGACCTTCCAACCCCCAGTTTGGAAATGGGAGTGCTTTATAAGCTTTTCTCAAGCTAATGTGGGTCAAGCTGAAAAAGAAATGAGGATTTTGTAATTCTAAAAGTAATGCATTTTGACTTGACAAAATGACAGAACTATGGTGGACACTGCAGTGAGTTGCATAATTGTTTAGCTAAAACTAACGTAGCTAGAGGCTCTCTGATACATTAGATGGATTAATTTATTTCTCCTCCACAGCTTTAGGATCAGATTAAGGGATTCAAACACCCATGTTTTAATCTTCTCTATATTATATTGTTCTTTGCAGGGGTATTCAAAATATTATTGAGTAAATGTCCTCTGTAATTTCATTCCATTGTAATCAACAGTCCTAGTGTTAGTATTATTGCCTGATTTCTTGGCAGCTCTTCTTAAATTCAGACTGAAGAAGATAATTAAGTAATTCCAGTAAGTTTAGCCAATGTGGTGCCTTCCAGGTATTTTTGCCCTAGAATTCCTGTCAGTCTCTGTATGGGCAATGATTGGGGATGCTTGGGGCACATAAAGATGAAAATAGTTGATTATCTGTAACTTTTGCTATTCAGGTGGGTGATTTATGCCTTTACATATCCTGGCTAGGGCATCCCTAGCTAGTGCACTATTCTGCTAGTGCATGATGAAACTGGGAGGGAAAGGGGTTAGCTCCACCCCTCCATTCAATGCAAGAAAGGCTATTGCACATCTACAAGACCAAAGGAATTGGCACTGCTAGTCTTCATCGCTTCCTAGAAGGCCCTGCCTGCGAAGGTACAAAGAATCCTGCCTTACACTGTGAGCCTTCCATTCTTACTTCCTGGCCAGGACCACCAAACCCCACTTGTGGGGACATCCCCACTTACAGCCATGGGGAGGCAGGCTTCGCAAAATCCTATGCAAGCATATTCCTATGCTTGCTACAGCATACCTTGTTATTGTTTTCCTTTTAATGCTCAAGAAAAAAAAATCTCTGGTCACACAGGTTACAGAATTCAGGTGATTTGGCAAACGGGGGGGGGGGGTTCACGCACGCATATGCAGATCAAACATCTCCCAGATTTAAGGATGATCAGTATGTATGAAACTTTGAATGCATTTGAGTATAAGACATATTGCCTGGAAATTCCTACGCAAGCCATTTCAACCTCCCCCCCCCCCCCATTCAGAAGTGTTTTGAACTGCCTTTTGCTCATGTCATGTTGAAACTATGACTTCCAAGTACTACCAGAATAAGTTACAAAAACTGCATATAGGCCTGTGTTTCTTAACAATACCAAATACCAGTGTTCGAAGCTGAATCCCAAAGACACAGTCATGTCTGCAAGCTGTCAAACCTGAACATTAGTTCAACTACTGACTTTCAAAATCAGTATGTGATGCAACCTCCTGGGGGGGAAAAGTCAATTTGACAGATGAAAGCCCCTTCCTTGCTTTTCTGTGCAAGGTTGCTATATCTCTACTCTTTATTGTTGACTCTTTGTAAACTTTCTGCAGTAAATTGCATCTTCATGATAAGCAAATGTTCTGATGTTATGGTCTGGTGTTATGCTTCTTAAGATATGAGTGTGTTCTTGAGAATGCAAGTGTGGCCGACACCACAAAATGGCCATTCTCACCAAAGTGGTAAATGTATGGGCTGCATACGTCAGAATACAGATGTAATCTCTCATAATAGGGTGACACCCTCTTCACCCTGCCCCACTTCAAAACAATTCCTACACACAGAAAGGTAGCATGTCTGAAAGAAGGCAGGACTAGAACCCTTCTTGTTGAAATGCTAGTTTTCTACGTGCAGATTATTATTATTTTTAATTTGTAGAGAGGCCTCCATCTGAGCTCATTTTATACATTTTGAAGCGACATTAGCCTAGAGACAGCTTTGCCACCTCCCAAATAAATAGGACCACAAGGTCATGTCAGATAGCTGCAGTTATTAACAAAGATATATTTTTAAAAATTAAGGGAGCAGCCAGATTGAAAACCTAACCCGTCTGAAAGTTTTCACTTCCACAAAGTAATCTAGGAAGTGAACAGTTCTGAGAAAGATTAGAATACTTTCTTACAAATCCCAAGCCCTTTGAGACATGGTAGTGCTTGAAATTCCTTAGTTTGATAGCCCTTTCAGATCTGTAGTGCACACACATCAATCATATTTAATGGATGAGATGTCATTCCCCTCCATCCATGCTCACAAACCAGGCTTTTCTCACAGGGGCCATAAACTCAGAAGTGGGATATGCAGACTGCTATTGCTACTGCTAGCCATCACCAAGTAGCACACACAGGTTTCTCAAACTTCAGCTTCCTGCTGTGATTGCTCTGCAGCTTGTGTTTCCTTTCTGGTGATGACTCATCAGGTCATCAAAATGGAAAATGGCAGTTCATCAAAATGGAAAAACACCAGCCTTCTCTTGACGCTTTTGCTGTAGTGGAACCTCTTGCCTAAGGTAAACTTCCCTTTACAGCATTTAAAATACAGAGCATTCAAACGCAGCATTTTATGTACATTTAAACTTTCATACATAGGGCAAACTGCTACCAGGTGATCTCTGTGCAAGATGAATAAATGGAAACAAATTATGCATTAAGAAAAGTAACACAGAAAATACTGTTTTCATCTTCCTGGCCCTTCAACTACAGGAGTCTTTTGTTTCTCCTTTATTCAGAATGGTGACTTGGCAACACAAAACGACTAATTTATAGCATAGGTCATTTATGGGTGTTGTAAAAAGCTGTTGTTTAAAGCTCAGTAGAATAAAATAGATAGCCAGAGGAGTAGGCTTTGGCCTAGAAAAGTTTATACCAGAATGGAAACAGTGGCTGAAGTCTCACAGACTCTTTGTTACTGTTTCCCATGGAGACTGAGAGAGGCACAAACGCACCACATGGACAAAATGCTTAACTCCCTGTAAAATATGTTGAATATTCTGTTTATATTTCATATTATGGAGGCTCTTGGCTTCCCTAATTCAGCCTTATTTACAGCTTTGCTATCTGCTGGGCCCAGCTGAGGCCTTTAATGTCAGTTGCTCCAATGAGGGTAAGTGGAGCCAGAATCAAAGGCTGAGGCCACCTTTTGAGGCCTACAGGCCCTTTTAAGACACCTAATAAACCAAGGAATACTTGTGAATGGGAACAAAACCCCAACAAAACATGGAAATAGTAGTCATGACACAATGGGGGGTGGGGGGCAGTGTTGTGCTGCAGCTGCCTTTTAGCCTTCACAAGTACCCTCATTCTCCAGAAATTAGTGGGGTCTGATGAAGATGATTTTGACTGAGACAAGAAGGCATTTCTGAGTAGGCCTCAGACACAGCCGATAGTCACAGATGTTTGGGGGGGCACATTTTCTCTCATGAGCCACATTCTGAGGGCCACATGCTTGTGGCAGCTGGGGCCAGAGGTAGAAATGGGTAGAGCTGTGGTTCCCACGCCCCACAGAAGGGCAATTTGATTTTTAAGGGGAGCAATTCGAGAATGAGGTAAACCAAGTTAATGGCCTTCTAGGCTTCCTCCACGTGAATAGGAGTTCACTTTTTGAATAATAAGAATTACATGTCACCAGGGGCGGGGGGGCATCAGGATTTTAGAGATGCGAAGGTGGGGCATGGCAAAAAAATGGGCTGGGAATGGAATCACTGGGGCAGAGCAGAAGATACAGCTTTTGCATTTCTACACTAGCTTACATTCCAGCCATGGGAAAAATATCATTAAATTTACAAACACATAACACACAAGCAGCAAGGCAGGCAGGGAGCACAATCCCAGTTCAAGGACACCATCTAGCCAGGCAAAAACACTCAAGCAAGGAGAGATGCAGGGTCTGTGACAGGTGTTGGCTGTCACTGTATAATAAATATCCCCCCCCATTGCAGTTTCACCACAGAGCCAGGCCCTGCCAGCACCTGAGGTTTGACTTTGAGATAAAAAACAGAGGAATAGGTACTAAGTCCTTCAGATGCTTTGTCCACCTATGGTGTTTGCCCCAGTTCTGCAGCCTTGGGTGCAAAGAAGCCCCCCTCCCCTGGATGAAAAGCCTGCTTTTTGCAACTTCGGCCACACAACAGGGATGACAAATTTCTGGTCCGCATGCTTGCCCCTAGCTCAGAGACTTACCGGAGCCACCAGCAAATTGCAGCCTTTTCAAAAAATTCAAGCCACATGGACAATTGTGGTGAGTGAGATGCTTCACAAGATATCCGGCAGTGGGGTGTGTGGGAGAGCCGGGAATGAGATTTAGAAGATGTCGGGTGGAAGGGTTTGGGGCGAGAGGAGGACCATACAGGAATTGGGCCAATTTAACCCTGAGCCTTGAGTTTGAAGTTAGAGTGGTCCTCCAGATGTCCACAGGGGAACTGACTTTCCTCCTCTGCTTTCTTTCAGGACATTATGGGACAGCTGGCCTCCATCTCTGAACATTTTCCACTCCATCTCTCCAGCCTTGTGAAGCCAGAATTATCCACGCTGGTTTTACCAGGACAAGGTAGCAACAGGGCAATCAGAGTTGTGGCCAGGACGTCACATAAAGATACTGAAGACTGAACATTGTAATGCAGAA